AATATATTATATACCATAGAAAAATCATCACCATCACCATTATCACTTGAACAACACTTAGAAGTGAGAGGAGCATATCACAGAGACAAGACAATATGGAATAAGCAGTATATTTTTAATATTTTATATGTGCTTATTCTATAAAATTTTCTTGTGTTTGTGATAAGTGAAAATACACCATTTCAACACCTGAATACTTACACTTCTCTCATTCCTTGTATAATAAATGATTTCATACCTTCATTTGCCAGTCAAAATCTGTGAGTACATTGTGAGATATCTGTGATGTTTTTAATTTTAAATATTGTTGTGTCTCTTGATTACGAGCTGTTACAACTTCTACTAAACATTGACTATATTCATCTGATATACCAGTTGTTTCGAATAATTTTAATACCTACAAAATAATAATGTTTCATTCTTAAAAACCCTATACTGTCTATACAATACAATAAATCTAATCAAAATTTATGGATTTGAATATTCTACTCTATCTTTGAAATTAAAATTATTGATTACCAATTACAGTAAATACTATGTTAGGAGACGTCAAAAGAACCATTACAAATTCATGTACATATGACACGAACATAATCCTAATCAATCTGATCCTAAATGGTCTTACTTCATCTTTGGTCAGTTTATTTTTGACTGCTTTTATAACATGTTCCTCAATAAAGTTTGTTACAATCCACCATTCTTCTAAACTCCATATCTGGCAATAACTTTGAAAATTTAGGGACTTCTTGGTACATAATCTTGAAACTATTTGATGTGTGAGCTATGCAAGATAAAAGAAAGTTATTTGAGATGGACATTTGAAACAATTTCGGCTATTCAGTTATTAACTATATAATTTTAATTTTATGTATATTACATATATTATGCAGAACATACTTGAATGTATTCAGTAAACTGTTCAATAAAGGAACTTTTAAAGAAGATATGCATTTAATTCATGATGCAAAATGGCACTATTAGTCTAATACACTTAACTACGACTTGCCAATAAAATAAGACTGACAATTTCGACTAATTGTGACCACTTCAAGGAGGGTAACCGAAATCATGAAAGTTTCCTTCATAGAAAAATCAAAGGCTCTGTGCCCTCATGGACTTTTGATAGTAAGTGGGCGTGTCCGCGGGCTACTTTCAGTTTGTTGTTAAATTGACACCTATCATTATCCCAATTTAACTTTTGCACTCCATAATTAGTTGTGTGCTGCTCTCTAGCTTACTCTCCTGATCTACTGGTAACTCAAACATTTCGACAACGTATTAGAAACAAAACAAACCTTTGATAAGTCATTAGCATTGATCTTTTTTAATAAATCTTTTATTTCTTGCATGTCCGACATTTTGTCACGTGATCATTGGCAATAGGCTTGATTGTACCAGACATGAAATTGATCACAGAAAACAATGTTTGGATAACCTGATGTGAATTCGTCACGAGTTATTTTTAATCAGCCAACCAGATTGCATAAGAATTGATATACTTCCGGATGCAGAATGAGAATGGTTGTGTACAAACACAAATAACTACGTTACCATCAATATTGTGATTTATCTTCAGGTATATATCTGTATCTTAACATGCGATATTCAGGGATTTTCTGTTCAACGTTCATTTGTTAGTTACTTATGTAATAGACCAATGGATATATTGTCTAAGAGCATATTCGGGCAAAGTGAAACTAACTCAGATAAGTTATATGGATGGCCATTGATTGCATAGGCCTATAAGGCTATATTACTATTATGCTTTGAATGCATGATCTCAAGAATCTGTTGATGCCATTTCATTTAATGACAATCATATAGGCATGCGGATATTATCTTAAAAAATGGTGATTGTTTACAGTTTGTAATCAGATGATAAGAACATGCATTAGCCCACAAAATGTTTTCTTTTAATTGGTAATTAAATGTCTTTAGAAACAATCAAATGAACCACAACCTTTGTTGAACTTATTGTCAGGTACCAATTAGGCTACCCTGAAACTTTGTTTATAGCATTCAGTGGATTGATGGCACACTTAATACCTGTCAAATTGTATTTAACTCAGACAACAAGGCTTCATTATTTGTCATTTTAAAATTATAATTTCTATGTTTATTAGCTGTTGCTTGTAAACAGAACAGACTGTAAATGACAGTGACAGTGAATGTTTAACCCAATTATTTAAATGTGACTAGATCGATATCTGTTCAAATTCAACCAATTTCATGCCAATTTTACTATGTAGGTCTACATATCTTTTGTTTAAGCAACAATTAACCACCACATGCTCTTTGATTTGGTAAAAACATGTGATTAAACATTCACCCTGAAACAGTTCTACTTTTATCCATCAGGCCTACTGTAGGTGGATAAACATACGATAAATCAAGAAAATAATACCATGACCTCACATGAAATTAGACATCTACTACGTTAAAATTTGTGAGAGATTACTTAAAGAGGAAAAATCTAAAGCAGGGAGAAATATACAGAGTGTTTCTTTGGAATGCTATCAATTTTGTTGTATTGGTACAGGTAGTTAAATATTGTCTGTAGATTGATTAATCAAGTATAAAGCATATTATTTCATTTTGATCCTTGCACTTAAAGATGGTACATTATTTTGTTAATGCAAAACCAACAAAAATAATTTTCTCTTTTAAGGAAGTCAAATAGAATCAGTATGGTATAGGCTAACTGGTAATGAACTCCAACTCAACTGCTGATGTGATAACTTGCTGAATTGCTCATTTAAAATGGGAAATATTTGCCAAAGAAGTAAAACTAAACCCAAGTACCGGACGATTGTACCGAACACTGCAGTGGACCCAGATATACCCCCTGCTCATAAAAACCATCCAAATCATGAATTCCGTTCAAATAGAATCAAAACCACCAGATATTCTGTGATAACTTTTCTACCTAAAAATCTTTTTGAACAATTCCATCGTTATGCTAATTTATATTTTATTTTTGTTGTGGCCTTGAACTGGGTACCGGAAGTGAATGCTTTTGGTAAAGAAATTGCCATGGCCCCTGTGATATTTGTACTAGCTGTTACAGCTATAAAAGATATTTTTGAAGATTTTCGACGTTACAGATCTGATAAGAAAATAAACTTCACAAATTGTCGTAGGTTTTCATGGTGAGTTGATTTGTTTATATAAGTTATATATAATGGAATAGGGAGGTTAAATAGTGATGATAACTCATTATAATTAACCATTGCTCAAATTTGTAGAATATCTGGTCACATCTTAATAGATGGACACATTAATAGTTCAGCTCTGTATAGATACCAAATGGAATGAAAATTTTTTGCATTTGCTAGGGTTCTAATTCTCAAAAGTTGCAGATTCCACTTACTTTACTCATGATGATATCACTTACATATATCATATCTAAGAAACTGAGTAAAGTTTTCTGGCTTATTTGAAACATATAAAAAATAAAAATGAAAATTGTATCTAAATAAAAGACATGAATATCTTGTTATTATAGTAATGAAAGACGCTACATTAAAAGTGATTGGAAAGATATAAGAGTGGGTGATTTTGTTCATCTATCATGTAATGAAGTGATACCTGCTGATATATTATTATTAAGATCTAGTGATAAATCTGGTGTCTGTCATATTGAAACCATGAATTTAGATGGTGAAAACAACCTGAAACAGAGACAGAGTGTTGCTGGTATAGAAATGACACAGGTATATCTTTACAGTTGAAACCTAAAAGAATGGTTAAAAAAATTGTATATGTAGGCCACATTTGAAATTACTTTTAACACCATTCTCAAATTTCTATAATTTTATAGTGCAAGCTTATCATGTTACATTAGAACCATTGATAATATTTCTGTGTTTTCAATTTTTTAGAAAAGTGATTTTACCCCGAGTGCTTTTAAATATGATGTACAAGTAGAACAACCTAACTCAGAAATTTATAAATTTCTTGGTTTTATGTAAGTTTATATTCAATCATATGAAATATGCAGAGTATATTGTTGGCACCCATGATCATGACATGTTAGTAAATATTCTGGAAGGTACTATTCTTGATAGGTAGTTATGAATCATGCATACCAAATATGAAAATAATGGTTTGACCAATGATTTGAATGCATTCATTTGTATTACCTATCAATTTACTGTTTTCTGCATAAAGATTCGGCCTTGCCCTCATGAATATTTTTCATATTAGAAAACAACAAGCAAAATATGGTGTGAAAGCAAAGTAATTGGTATCAATAATTTTTATATGCCCACATGGAAATGTGGATGTATATTGCCGTCGCCCCTGTCCATTGGACCATCGGTCCATTGTTTTGTCAATAATTATTGTGAACACAATAGATACAGTTTTCATCAGATTTTAATGAAATTTGGTGTGATAATTTATATTGATGAGATCTTGGACATATTCGAATTTGATGATTTTTCGATGAACGGTTTTTGAGTTATTGTCCTTGTCTTGGAGAAACGCGATAAAATTTGTCTATGAACACAATAGAGACTACAGTTTTTATATGACATTCATGAAATTTGATGTGATCATTTATATTGACGAGATCCTGGTCTACTTCAAATTTGACAATATTTTAGGTAAACAGTTATTGAGTTATATGTTGTGAAAAACTCAGCATAAATAACTAATTAAAATATATGAATAAATTCAAACTACAAATGCATTATGAAAATCTTTAAGATGAGAAAATTCATTTTAGTCACTAACGACTTGATTATCATTTCTGACAGCTGTCAGTAGGTGAATGCTACCTTGCCTGGCATGCTATCTGATGTTCATGTCTTTAATGTATAGTATGAATATGAATATTTTAATTACAGCCAGAAAGACGTTGCTAAAAAGATACCATTAAATAATGAGAACCTGTTATTACGTGGCTGTATTGTAAGAAATACTGATTTTATAGAGGGTATATGTGTTTATGCTGGTCACGAGACTAAAGCTATGTTAAATAATCGTGGACCTAGATATAAACGCAGTAAATTAGAACGTGCTATCAATAGAGATGTCTTCTGGTGTGTTGTTGTACTCTTATTTCTGTGTTTTTTCTGTGCAATAGGTAAGTTGTATTTGCATGCAAGCAGAGAACCAAGGTATTTCTTTGAGAAATACATTAATATATTCAATAATGCAGCATTTGAGGGTATTTTATGTTTAGAGACAGAAGATGCAAACTATAATCAACTGTCAACCACTTTGCTTTGATGAATTTTAGGTTGGTTCTAAATGCTCTCAAATATCCATGTTAAGGGTAGAGCATAAAATTACTTCACATAATATATTCATATAAATATGCTGTTTTATTATTTACAGTTATGTTGATTTGAATATTGACTGATTATTATTATTATTATTGTAGGAAGTGGTATATGGTTGAGTGATTATAATAAATTAACAGAGAATACTAATTTAGTACCATTTATAGCATTTGGTAATTTGGACCAATATTCACCATTATATCAGGGTTTTATAGTATTCTGGACTTACGTTATCATTTTCCAGGTATGAAAATATTTCTCTACAGGTCCAGACATTTTTTTCTTATGTTTCTGTGGGTTACTTCACTTATCTTAGATCTATGGGCATTCTTAAGCAAAGTTTTTTGGTTTGTAAACATTTCAACAATGGATAAATAACTGTAGTAAACCAACAGAAAAAAACAAATGTTTTTCTCCTGATTTATACACTTAATGAATGTACTAATGGATTGTAGCTTTGAAGGACTAAAAATTTGATTCCTTATTATTTGACTCAGAAGTATGTGATTTGGTTTGATTTTGTTCTAGATTTGAATCTTGCGTATTTATATACTATTTCAGGCAGTGATACCTCTACCATTATATGTTTCTGTAGAATTTGTCAAGTTAGGACAGATTTATTTTATGTCTCAAGATAATGAATTTTATCATGAAGAATCAGATAGGAAGTTGGAATGTCGAGCGTTGAATATAACAGAAGATTTAGGTCAACTTCAATATATATTCTCAGATAAAACTGGTACATTAACAGAGAATATCATGGAATTTAAAAGTTGTACTATTGGTGGTGTTGATTATCCTCATTTACCTGGTGGGTTTAGGATCATATTTTCTTATCTGTTGGTAAAAATCTACAGATAGTCTAATCGATCCTTTTGAGTCAATCTCAACATCTATACCCGATATGACAGACCAAGGCTTCAGCGAATAGAGACAAATGACAACCAAACTATTGAAGTTTTTTAAATCCAACAAGACCTTCCTTTGCCTCATTTTAACATGGTTTGCCCTCCAGCCTTGCAGACCGAGGGTCACTAAATTTGGATTGGTCAAAGGTTTATTTCCTGACCTTAAGAATGATTGCAGTAATTCTATTATTTTATTATAATATTTAATGTAATTATTCTAGGTGAAGAAAATAGTTGTGATGATATTTCTGATGTAGATAGTAGATTCTCTATACCCAGTAGAAATAGCTCTGTAAGTACTTATATAGATAACTATAATTGCTATGGCTGGGCTTGAATTAGTTGATTTGTGATTATTGTTGTCAAATTTAATTTCCATTTGTTTATGTTGAAGCTAAACATTTTTCGTCGATAATGTCAGTAATTATTTTATAGATTATTTCTGAAGAAGTCAACCAATTCTAATAACTAAAAATTGAAGAATCAACCAATCATCTGTCTTTTCAGGTGTTAGAAAACCTACGATTAGAACCATCTTTACAAAGAGAATTATCTAACATGTGTTTACGAAGTTTAGACAGTGTTGAACTCGTCATACCACGACATGTACAGAGAGTACAAGAATTTTTTCTATTGATGGCTGTGTGTAATACTGTAGTTGTCTCTCATCATCCACATGAAGATAATGTAAGAAAACTTTGGACTTTTCTGACAAAATGTTTATACTAATGTCATATTTTCATATTTGATTTAAATTACTTTGAAACATCTTTTTTTTTTCATGGGCATCAAATTTTGTTGATTTATGACTGTAAATGTTAATTTGAGATAAACTTTTGAACATAAGTTCATTTGATGTGCTGTGTTTCCTTGGTAATGGTGTTAAAATTGGTTGTCAAATTTCACCTTTGCTGTTAAGAATATGTATTGGAAGCAGTACAAAATAAGCTACTTTCACAAAAAATGATTTGTTTTGTCTTACAGCTAGATGAAAGTGGATTCGCCAGTCATCCTAATTTCCAGGCCGGCCATATTGGTGGTGGTGATCAACCCTTAGATAGATATCTACGTTTATCACAATCTAGTTTACAATCACGAAACAAAACCAGATCAGTGGGATCAATATCTAGTACTGATCTTCGTGATGGGGGAGCTACACCTATTCAATCTGAAGGCAGCATAGCCAGTTCATCCATGCTATCAGATATGTCATCAAGAACAAGGTATGAAGCTGAAAGTCCTGATGAATTAGCTCTAGTTAAAGCTGCTAATACTTATGGTTGTCGTCTGGTGAAGAGATCACATGACACTGTTATAGTCTGGTTGCCCGGTAAGTTTTATTTCTTCTTGAAGAAAAAGAGGGCAATTTCATTTATTATTTTATATAAGCTGAAAAGTTTTCATTTGAAAAATGATCTGCAACATTGGATGGGATGATAAATATAAAAGCATGTGCTACAGGCTGTTATAAATTCTTCAACTATCCAGGCAAATTTTGTCTCAGTGAGAAAATTAAGGCAAAAACTTTCATGGAGATCTTTCCTAAAATTGTAGCTGAGTAGACAATAGTGCTTGGTATTGAGAAGATTTTTAGGATATGATACATATTAATATAAGGGCTACAATACAATAAATATCTTGCTATGGGGTACTAGGTAAAATGCAGCACTCACTTTAATTTATGGTAATAAACAGATATATAGTCAACTTGTCAATTTTTTTTGTCAGGAAGGGGTGGGCATTATTTAGGGGGACAGAGATTTTCCCTGATATACTGGAGGATAATATGGGGTGGGCATTATATATGCTTGTACATGATATTTGGAAATATTATATTATATACAGTAAATATATAATCTGTCATATAAATATTCCATATAATAATCAATCAAATATATAAATATATATCTATTACAGCTGAAGGGGAGGTAGAATTAGAAATACTACATATTTTACCCTTTGATTCTGTCAGAAAACGAATGTCAATTATTTTACGGCATCCCATATCTAAAGAAATTACACTTTATACTAAGGGTGCTGATTCAGCCATATTGAGTATTCTGAGTAAAAAATATAAAGGTGAGCGGTTTTGTTACTCTCTAATTTCAAAGTTAGGATTGTTCTATATTTGTTGACATGTAGAAGGTCAGGTGGTTAAGTTGTTGAAATTTAGGATGATTGCTTGTCAACATGTTAAAAAAAAGATATTTGCAGGTTCCCTCTTTTGGTCAACTGAGCTGTAAATGGGTTAAGAATGTTCTGGAAGGGATCAAAGACAAGAGGTTTTGCCAGGAACCTGCTTAAAGACACAATCCTGTAACAGTTGTAAACAGCTGTAAAATATAGTTATTGTGTAAATTACAGATTATCAGTAATCAATGATTATCATATTATGGATAAATGAACAAATTTCTGTAGTTTATTAGAATCTGTATGAGTTATTGTATAAATTATAAGTATTTTGTATTATAGAGGATGAAGAATTAAAACTACAAGTAGAAGATACAGTTAAACATATAACATCATACGCTATGAGAGGTTTACGCACATTATGTATGGCTAAAAAGGTAATTAAGTTGATATTTAGAAGTTTTAGTACCTATAGCTATGTTAACTTTCTAAAGTTGTCACAAAATTAACATAAGCAACTTTAAAAAGGCATTTGGTTTCCTTGATTTCTGTCACAGTTTGTAGATTTTAGATAGATCTATTTGATATGATATTCTCTATGTTATATTATTGTAGATTTTAGATAGATCTATTTGATATGATATTCTCTATGTTATATTATTGTAGATTTTAGATAGATCTATTTGATATGATATTCTCTATGTTATATTATTGTAGATTTTAGATAGATCTATTTGATATGATATTCTCTATGTTATGTTATTGTAGATTTTAGATAGATCTATTTGATATGATATTCTCTATGTTATGTTATTTTAGATTTTAGATAGATCTATTTGATATGATATTCTCTATGTTATATTATTGTAGATTCTGGATCCAGATGAATATAAAATGTGGTTAATAGAAAGACAAGAAACTGAAACATCAATGGAAGAAAGAGAAAATTTATTATTAAATTCCTGTTGTAAAATAGAAAGTGATCTAGACCTACTAGGTACGTATTAAGTCAGTCTGTCTGATCTATCAATGCTGTTCACTTAGTAACTCATATGGTACGCTCTTAAATGTGACATCAAACGAACATTATGGAGATGGTTTATAAATAGGACAAAAATACATAAGAAAGGAGTTGTTATATTGGACTAAATATAAAGATGGGTGCATACAATTTTTCTGATTGATTATTTGAATACTGTCTATACATTGATATTTTTGCAGGAGCTACTGGTATAGAAGATAAATTACAGAGTGGTGTACCACAAGCTATAGATAAACTAAGACAAGCTGGTATTAAAGTCTGGGTATTAACAGGAGATAAACAGGTATGTTATAGATAAACTAAGACTAACAGGGGATAAACAGGTATGTTATAGATAAACTAAGGACAAGCTGGTATTAAAGTCTGGGTATTAACAGGAGATAAACAGGTATGTTATAGATAAAATAAGACTAACGGGATAAACAGGTATGCTATAGATAAACTAAGACAAGCTGGTATTAAAGTTTGAGTTATAACAGGTGATAAACAGGTATGTTATAGATAAACTAAGACAAGCTGGTATTAAAGTCTGGGTATTAATAGGAGATAAACAGGTATGTTATAGATAAAATAAGACTAACAGGGGATAAACAGGTATGCTATAGATAAACTAAGACAAGCTGGTATTAAAGTCTGGGTATTAACAGTAGATAAACAGGTATGTTATAGATAAACTAAGACAAACTGGTATTAAAGTCTGGGTATTAACAGGAGATAAACAGCTATACAGATTGCCTGTATTATATTGTGTGTTTTATATTGTAGGAAACAGCTATACAGATTGCCTATGCCTGTAAATTATTCACTAAAACTCAAGAAATAATAATATTAAATGCTCACACAAAGGTAAGATTAGTATATTAGTTTTATATTACCTGGTTTTTACATGTCTACCAGTAAGAATGTGCCAATTTTGTAAGATTTAGCAGTAATGATTCATTTTCACGCTAAGATTTTTTGATTTTTAACATTATTTTTTTAGCTAGAAATCAGCCTATAAAACTAGCAACATTTCAAGTCATTTATCAAAAGAAAATGAAATGAAATGGTTTATTTATTTTTATAGGAAGAAGCTGGGGACCTGTTAAAACATCATACTGAACAAATATCCAAAGATTTTAAATCTTCTATTAGATCTAGAAACCAGGGTCATGATGTGGATCTAAGAGAATATGCTCTAGTCATTGATGGAAAAACTCTAACCTTTGCTTTAAGTGAGGAATTTGATGCTCATTTCTTGGCATTATGTAAAAAATGTAAATCTGTAGTATGTTGTCGTGCTACACCTATACAGAAAGGAAGTGTAGTTAAACTTGTAAAAGAAAGATTAAAACAGATGACATTAGCTATAGGTAAGTTAGTGAGAACGTTTATTTTTGTATGACAATACAATGTTTTATTTATATATTACTGATAGTAAGACTCAAGAAGGTAATGATACTTGCTGAGTTTGTTCCATTCCATTTTCACTCCATTGCTATTAACAGTCATGTTACCGTGACAAATTGGATTAAGAGTTAAGTCAGGCTAAATCTTCCTTCAGACATGAGCAATTTCTGATTGTAAAGAAATTTCTGTTAATTTGATATATTTATAAAATATGTGTATGTTATTTGCAGGTGATGGTGCCAATGATGTGAGTATGATACAAACAGCAGATATTGGCGTTGGAATATCAGGACAAGAAGGAATGCAGGCTGTCATGGCATCAGATTTCTCTATTGCTCAATTTCGCTTCTTGGAACGTCTAATTCTAGTCCATGGTCATTGGAATTATTCCAGACTTGCCCGTTTTGCTGCTTATATGTTTTATAAAAATCTGGTAAGAACTTTATTTCTATTTCTAAAGGCATGCAGCCATCTGATTATTTTAATAGCTGTGCTTACTTTTCAACAAATTTTTCGTGATAGTAAATTTAGATCAAATTCTGCTATTGTTTATTTAGAAAGGTTTCAGAAATTTCTTTTTGATTTAAATGTATATCAGGAGTTCATGAAACAAACACGTGTTTTGAGTGTAAATTCCTCATCAGGATAACTAGTTTGAGATTTCATACCATAGACCTGTAAAATTTTGGTGCTATTTATTTCAGATTACAGTGTTTATTTTATTTTGGTTTCAACTATTTAGTGGTTTTAGTGGATCGTTAATGATAGATAGTTTATATCTAATGTTACAACATGTTTTATTCACCGCCTTCCCTCCAGTAATAAATGCTGTATTAGATAAAGACATCTCAGCTGAATATTTATTACGAAATCCACAACTCTATACACCGTGTCAAAAAGGGGAGGTAAGTCTTATCATCTTTTAATAGCAGAGGCAAGAATGGGTGTTAGCATATGAATATCAATCAGACATGCACAGTACAAACCTTCATGATTATATTACAATATTTATTCAAATATAGTATGCAGCCTTCATATTCTTCTTCCATTTACTTTAGGGTATTTTAGCTATGTATCAAGATCATTTGGAGACCTTACTGAAAATGTAAGCTGTAAAATATAGAAATATATTTCACTGTCATTATTCAGTAGAGTACTAGAGTAATAGATATACCATCTTGACAAGAAAAAGAAAAACAAACATAAGTGATAAATATATACATTCTTCAGAAAGTGATTAAACCCACAAAATTAGATCCACTAGTTATTACAATGGATACAGAAACAAAACTTAAATCAGCTGTATGAGAATGATGATGACACAGTGCCATTAAAGATGGGTTCCCTTATTTTCATTAATGAAAATGAAAATGCTAATACTTATATGGATAGAATAAGAGGTGTTGTAATGACTTGGAAAAATACCAGTTTGTCTAACATGTCCATAAATAATTCATAATTAGCTACAGAGAATTACCAGCAGAATTCCAATGAGTGACTGATCAAGAAAGGTCAAGAAGTCCTTTTTTTGTTTATCCAGACTGTACATACATGGACATTTATGATTGGTTCAAACTCTTAATAACATGCAATATAAGAAAATAATGATATGATTGAGTTTGCTTAATTTGACACTAAAAAATAAGGAAACCCATCTTTAATATAAGAATATATGTATCTTGTTTTAATAATGTACATTTCTATCTTACCATTTTCCAGACGTATACACCATGGACATTTTTAGTTATAACCATTGATTCATTATATCAAAGTCTCATCATTTATTTTATTCCACATTTTGTAAGTTTTAAAAGTTTATATATTTAAAGTCTTATAAAAAAATTATTATACCAAATAATATATATTATGAGCTATGAAAAAGGGATGCTGATAGTTTGCATGGTCTTAGTTTACATATGGATAACCTGCGATATTCTATTGCCAGATGCTTGAATTTGACTGATGTCGTTCTATATAACAGATGTAGACTGCATACACAGATTAAAGATTAGCCAAAAGGCTTGTATCATTAAGTCAGTATTGAAAAGAACTGCTTGCTAATTTATTTAGAATGTTGTCTTAATATGCTGTATATTGTTTCAACAGAGAATAAGTATATATTTATAGACTTCTTTAAACCAACGATTCAAACATGTCTTGAAGTGCAGACACAAGAACAAGTTCTACTTGTCATACTTCAGAAGGAACACAGAAAAGATCAGTTGTCTGATGATCACACAGCATGAAACAATTATAAGCAACTTGTTTCTATTTGTAGACATATCAAGATAGTTATGTTGGTATCTGGGAATTTGGTACAACAATTTGTATATGTATGATATTAGTTATTTATTTACATTTAGTTATAGAAACAAGTTCATGGGTAAGATATTTAGTCATTTTTTTTTTCGCATATATTTTGGCATCAATATGGGTGCTCGGTTGACTCAATTAGACTTCTTGGAAACTGATAAGCTAATATTCAATCACCTTAAAGTCAATCTGGTGTCAGCTTTCAACTTTCACCCTTATATTTAAGTTTATGAATCAAAAAGTGTTGCAGCTGTTAACATTGCTGGAGTTGTTAACATTGCTGCTGTTGTTTACATTGCAGCTGTTAGTATCATTGCAGCAGTTGTTATCACTTACAATAATATTTGATATTTTCTAGGTATGGATTCAGTGGTTATTTTTAATTGTTAGTTTTATTTTATTTTGGATGTTTGCCATTATTTTTAATGCTATATTTGTGACGTTTGATCATCCCTCAAATCCCTACTGGGTCATGGAACATACTATATCTCAAGCCATACATTCTTGTCTCACAGTTATAACTTGTGTTCTAGCTCTATTACCTAGGTAAGTTATATTTTCATAACTAAGTTTTGGTATATCCACTTGCAAAGTAATTTGAGAGACCGACATACTTAAAAACAAATAGTCATTAAGTCAATAGTCATCAAAATAAAGGCTATATAGTTTAGCGCCTAGATTAGGCCAGTTTAAGCCAATATCTTGTCACTGAGAAATTTCCCTCATTGTACATTGGTGGATTTGAATCTCCCATTGAAAGTTGTTGTTATAATGTATAATGGTATAAATATTATGTAATTTGGTTGTGAATTTTTCCAGTAAAACTTAAAACAGCAGTTATTCATAAACATATGTTATAAAAATTAGCATATTTATATTATATAGATTTTAGAAATATTAAAAGAGAACATAAAAAAACATGTTGTTTTTACTCAGAGTTTCACGCTGTGTGATCTTCAGACAACTGATCTATATAATTCACCTTGGTCTCTACTGAAGTAGATGAGATGAGAACAAGTTTTGCGTGTCCAACTTCAATAGAGACAGAGTCTGAATTAAATAGGTCAGTTGTCTGAAGATCACATAGATTGATAGATTGAGTATCAACAACATGTTTTTTAATGTTCTGTTTTAATAATTCTCTAAAGCTCTACAATTGATATATTGAGCACTATTTTAACAGTGGTATTTCTATATTGCTCTACAATTGATATATTGAGCACTATTTTAACAGTGGTATTTCTATATTGCTCTACAATTGATATATTGAGCACTATTTTAACAGTGGTATTTCTATATTGCTCTACAATTGATGTATTGATCACTATTTTAACAGTGAAAATATTTTATTATTATTGTAATATAGATTTTAAATTAGCTATAATCTATAATATTATCATAAAAAAATACAATAATAAGTTTATAATTGATTTATCACTAATTTTGATGCTATAAATATTTTCCTTTGGTTATTATAAGTACATTAATATACTGACTTTAATATTTTACCTGTTCTTTGTATGATTATTATTATTATTATTTATTGTTACTTTAGTTATTATTAATGTCTGTAGAATAGTTACTGTTATTAGCCAACGACCAGCTGAGAATCAAGTTCCCCTTATACTACTGTATAATTGTTAATATAATGTGCATTTAGTATAATATAAACATCCATTCTTGTTATGAACAATGTTAACATTTTAAAATAATTCTATTGGTTAATATTTTGTCAATGTTTTCTATTACAGACTTGTTATAAGAACATTACAGTATACTTTGTTTCCCTCTGAAGTTGATAAAATAAAACAACATAAACGTGATATCAGATCAGTGAGTGGAGATAGTGGACATGATAATCCTAGTAACACTGACATTGATTATCAACCTAATAACTCTCAGGTCAAATTGCCAAACATAACAGAAGTCAGAAGTAGAGGACCAACAATACATGTTGAAAATGAATCTGTGATTGCATAGGCAGTGTTTGATTGCAAATAATTCCCATCCTGGATGTTCATGAAATCATAAAATTTCTAGATTCACATTTTTGACACATACTTATAAAAATCATTTTATTACAATCCTCATATTTTTGACAAAATTGTGTCTCATCCATAGTTTCTTTCCGAGGCTCACAAAATATAATGACATTCATTCAAAATGAATCTCAATAGATCTTCATAATATGATTGTATTTGATCTCTACTGAAAATCTGGATGAGAAGTCCTAGCAATCAAACATGGCCGAAGTACCATCTTTTAATTTAATGTGTGACACATTCCATTGATATAGTCCCTATTTTTTAATATGTATTTTAATCGAACTTACGAACTTTTATCTTACATTAGGACTTATTCATATTACACTCATGTGAACTCCATTCAATACCACTGGTTTTATCATATTAAAAAAGATTTATATACATTCACTACTGTACAGAAATTTTATATTGACTTTAAAAATTAAAGTTTGCTATACATAAAATAGTGCTGTTATGGATGTATTTTACATAAAAAATACTATACTATAAGCTTATATGAATACCCTTATTTGTAAGAATAGTTGATACCAAAAAAACTCAGTTACTTCAAACTAGTCAAACTGTTAATATTTTTAGCTTGTGAATAATATAGGATTATGAATTAGAATGTTATTGATAAGGAGGTTGCATTGTATCACAATATATATCAAATCACTACAGAATCAGTATAAAGTAATCCTTTTTCAATAATTACATTTATAAGTATTTGAAAATTAAGAAATATATAATACCTCTAATTGACATTTCTTTTGCCTTGTAGTATATCTTTACTATAGAAAATTTAATAATAATTGTCTCAGCTCCAGTCTGTACTCCAACCTTGTTTGTGATTACATTAAAACACCATAGAATGTAATATATGAAGGATGTAATATATATATCATATAAAGCAGCAATTATCATGACTTATATACATTACAAAATTACAATGCAACAAAAATTAGCTGAATTATTCCATTTTTTTTATTTTTTAAGTTTTATTTTGTACCTTTATGATGATGATTTTGTATATTTTGATTTTAAAATGTAATTTTAAAGATTATCCCCCAATTAATATTGATATGTAATATTTATATTATTATTAAGAGATAATATATTCAGAACATGTATTGTGGCCAATTTTTGTAATCAAGCTTGACATCATATTCGTTGCTTGTAGGAAATGTAACTATTAAGTTCAAAATTCAGTGATATACAATAAATTCTGGTGATGTTGATTCCATTGATACTGGGTATGCTCACCATTTTGGGTCACCTGGTGACACTGAGGGTTTGAAGAACTAAGTCTAATCAAAAATATTTTGTTATGCTAATTACTTTGTTAAATTTAGTATAAATTATAAAGGGATTGTAAAGTGGTTTTCTAATTTTTTTGTGTGTATCAGGGACACTTATAGCATCAATTTGCAGCATTCCGATTTTCAATCAGATATTTGTGTTTCCTACAATTCCAATTTAAACTGATTTTTCACTTTCACTAATCGCAAAGGGTCATATGTGATATAGCATATTTTGCGATTAGTGACGTCATAAAACACTTAGTTTTACAATACTTTAAACTCTATTCTATTGAATATCAAGCAGTATGTAAACTATTAAGCAGTATTCAGTTATTTGAATCCATTATGTGTTCTACCTGATGATTTTGTTTACAATTTAATTCATCCGTTAAACTGCTGTCATTTTTTTATTCAATAGTTCAAATTGAGGCCAATTATCTTTTACAACATTGTTACCAGATGCTTTTATACAAAGATATTCAAAATATATTGACAATTTATATCTTAAATGTACTATTATAGATAAATAGATTAAGTACTATTTAAAATTGATGTCTGATTTTTTTCAATCAGTTTTTGTTACTTTGAGTGTTAAGTACTTATCTGCATGCCATCATTTTTAAACTAAAAAATATCCTAGTCACAAACAGCTAAAAAAGATTTGTCTATTTAAGTAAAAGTTTGGAATCCATGGCTCTGTTTTACTGGGAGACAGTTTACTATGATTTTGATTGGACCAAAAACCTATAAGTTCACATGCACCTCTGGAGGTAATCGTAATCCGTTAATGCACTGTCCACAAAAAGTCACTTCAAATAATATTTAGTACAGCAATTCTGGTATTTTAAAAGGTTCTGTGACTGCCAGGTTAATGTATGAAAAAAAAAGGGTATCGATATATAAAACATAAACCCAGTTCTACATGTTGTAATTAATTCAGATGTTTACTTTAAAAGATGCATCGTTACTAATATCATTTTACAGCATTGTATTTAGATTTTGTTTAAGTTTAAACTGCTGTTGTTCACTTTGCATCATTGTTGTTGTCATGACAGGTGTTATTCAAATGTTTTAATTAATTTTGTGTTGTTTTTTTTAGTTTAATGACCGAACATGTTCTCAACAGTGCTTTTTATTTATTGCAACATTAAATATATTTTCATTAATATATTGTTCTGCTAATTAATCCACATGGTGTTCATTAATGAGATTAACTCATTTTTATCCCCAATTCATAATTTGTGTAAAATCTGTATGGTACCTACTTACACTGTGAATGTCATAAGTTTATGCCAAAATATTAGACTAACGATCATCTTAAGCAAATTCTTATACATGTTTAACAAACTTACAAAGATCTTAGCTGTTAAGGATTTACGCACGTCGTACACAACATTGTTTTGTTGAATTTCTCTTTTTCATCAATTTACAGAAAATAAATATTTCTAATTTTTTCCGAAAAATGGTAAGATTTTGACGGCGTGACACCTTGATAATTATGTCATCTTTAACAATTGACAGTCAAAAAATCAAGAATAAGGAAATTTGATATTAATAAGTTCTCAAAACAGAAATTGGGAAGTTTCATCTATTCTGAAGCATTCCATGAGTTAAGAGTCCTTTCCTATTGAGAGAAAATTGAAAACATTAATTTAGACATTTTAATAATAATAATAAAGCACATAATTTGAATAACAATATAGTGGATGATAGAAAAAATACCCTTCACCAAATATAATCAGCTAGAGTTCTAGTATTAAGGTTATATTATGTGGTTTGACAAACTACATACCGGTTCAATAAGATGGAACTGAATAACTTTTGATTAATTTAAGATGAAAATTTTTTAAATAGCTATATAAACTAAGATTCAGATACAAAAGTTGACAAAAGATAGTAATTAAAAGTGACAAGTCCTTGATAATCAATTACAGTCTGATCTAAGCATCCTAAACAAATTAACAATCAAAAATTTTAAAGTTGTATTCTGGTTTATATTGAGAGATAAATTTTTGACATTTTGATACTGTAAATGACTAGACAACAGATAGTTATAGCATGAAATAACATCTCACAAAAACTTTTAAAATTAATATTCATCAATATAGCTAATCATAAACTAAGACAATTCAATAGAGAAAACATTATGCAGCAAAAACTTGATTAAAGAAATTTCAACAGTCGTTCAAGGATATTAATGCACATGTGAGTACAATTCAGTATTCCCAGCCATTCTTTCTTTCAATGTGGAATAAATCATACGGTAGTTAAAACTATACAAGCCAGATATTTTATAACTTATGTTTAAATTGTACCCAAATGTACAGCAATAACTCTACTTAACTAGAACTAGATTTTTTTATTTAAATTCAAGTTCACAAATTGAAAGATTGAATATTAATATTAAAATATATGTTTAGAAAAATATAATGATCTAAAACAATACTAACAAACCAATTTTAAGGCACGTTTTTGCAAAAGGCAAATTGGCATGGCTTGAGAAAAATATTTACATTTTGAGACAATTCTTAAGGAAAGAAACAAATATTGAATGTTGTAAGAGATTCAAAAATATAGATGTATAGAAATACAAAAATTTCATTGGATAATCATTCTATAAATTTGTAATTACTAATCTAAACAAATTGTTAATGAAATATTGTTCTATCAAAAAAATTATTCACATATCAAACTCTACACCTTAAATAGGTCCAAATACTTGCATGCATCATCCTTCTTTCAAACTACTATTTAACAATATGGAAACAAAATATCACATCAGTTTTTGTTAACAAGACCATGGTAGCTTTAATCTATCTACATCATACCTCGGTATATATATTATGCTTGTGACCACAGTAAGAGTAGTCTAGCCACTGTCTTCCTATGAAGAATTCAAATTCTGTTGATAGTATTATGGAAACTTATGACTTCTAATTGAGCCTTTGTTAATTCTGTGGTTCCTCTAGTTTCAGAAAACCAGATTATAAAATGTTTATAGTAAAATGCCATTTGAACAATGCTATAATCTGGCAACTTTTTCTAGAAATATGGTACCCACAGATGATAAAAGGTAAAAATAAAAGTTGCAAGGTGTCCTTTATACACACTTATTCCTTTAATGTCAATACAATACAATCCTTAACAGTGTTTAATAGTAGTTTTATCGAGTTCCTGCTCTAATCAATTCTATCGATATATCACTCATTCCATTTCTCACTAATAACAATATTCTATACAGAATACAACTAATCTTCATATCCACTTCAAAATTATTAACAGAAACCATACAGTCATCCATGATAGATTTATATATTTATATATATATATACTTTAACAGAAAGTCACCTCACAAAATTAACTTTTGTTAAGTGTAATATATCTCCATATTCACAAATTCTACAAATGATAATTTCCATGGTAAGATCTTATGAGAATCTGAAGCCAGAATTTAGAGACTATATAATAACAAATATAATGACAGATCAATAATATAAGACTATGAGGGCAATGTAGGTCAAAGATATTGGAGCATATCCAGAAACCTTCAAAATAACTGTTCAGTTAACTTCAACTAGAGCCTTAATCTAACCTACACAATGGAAGTTACTAATAATCAATTCTTGTTGGCATTACTGATTCATTAACATTAATTTAACTTGTAGATCGATTTAGAAATATTAAAACAGTTTCACACTCTGTAATCTTCAGACAACTGACCTATTTCAGTCAAGGTCTCTACTGAAGTATGATAACTTATCAGTTGTCTGAAGACAGCACAGCATAATATTGTGAGTTACATGTTTCGGGTTCTGTTTTAATATTTCTACATTACTAATATGTGTCTTACATATCTCCTTACCTGAATTCACTGAAATATCTATCATGGATGACACAAAGTCATAGGTATAAACTTCAAAATAACAATGGAAGGTACATACACATCTATTTACATTCAAACAATAAAAATAAATAAGGAGAATAAAATGAGAAAATATTAAACGACAAAAATACAATATATTAGAATATTGTCTATAAATTAAACAAAATAACAATAAAACATGGATAATGGAATGGATATTAAACTCTACTGAAAATTAATAACAAATAATAATTAGGTTACATAATCTTAAAACAAACATCATAATAAAATCATTCAGTTAGAGGGAAAAGTTTGCATAGACAAGTCTAAGTTAGTTTTCAAAAAAGAGTAAAAAGATCATATTTATAAGGGCTGAAACAATGAAACATGAAAATTATTTTTTCAAATATTTCTCAACACTTTAATTAAATTGTTAATTACATTTAATTATAACTTGAGAGCATGAAGCTCTGAATATTTACTGTACCTTGGTAAAGGTATTTACATATCAATCAGACATATATTTAAAATTAAAAGTTAAATGTGACCCTGGAAAAACAAATGCTCAACAGCAGTAGCTTCGCATCAATAAACTAACAAAATATAATAAACATATTACTCAAAATATATGAAAATTTGGACCTATATAGTAACATATCTTTGTGAGACAGATAGGGATCTACCCTAAAGTTATTATAATGAATACTGCCTGTAGATGTTACATTAAACATTACATTCATATATTTTTAGGTTATATACCTAAAAATATATGAATGTAATGTTTATAGAATTTTGATTTATTATTTTACATTATACAAATATCAGTCTACAAGTTTAAAACTTACAGATTGAGATTTTTAATATATAAAAGACTCTTCCTTTTTCTCTTTCTGAACAACTATTTCTGTACATGTCAATAATACAAAAATGGCTAAGCATTGTATTTTATAATCAAAATTATTATCAAGAATCAGCAGGATACTTAATACTTAATATTTAACTACAAATCTGGTTTAGTTTTCAATACAATAATTTTAACTTGTTAACTCTGACAGGATCTGTTTTTGAAAAACTGCCATGAATAGTCGATTGAAAGATGATCAAACTATCAAAATTTATTGAACTTTCTTTCTGCACAAAATCAGTCAGAATAAAAAAAATTGCTTGAGAAAAAAGATCTTAAAACTAAATGTTTTAAGAATTTAAGATTAAATGAAAATTAGTATTAAAAGTTGTTTGTATTATGATAAAAATACAAAAAAAAAACAAATCTTTGATACTCAATAACTAGCATAAATAATAGCACTTAAAATATTCTAGATAGGGTGTAAAGAAAATTAGGTTTTTCACACGACTTACTGATAACAATTATTAATTCAAACTACATCAATTTTCACCCGGCCCTGAAGAACCAGGACAAATGATAGGATTTTATGATGGGCACACATTTAGGTTTTTTTATGATTTTTATAAAACACTAGAACGTATCTTTTCAGTCTATCCTGTAAATCAAAGTTTTGGTTTTATGTTACAAAATGGCATGACAGAACATTTTACTAAATCTATTCAAATGCTCATAAAGGTTAACCATGCATTTTGCTATATACTTTTCTTCACACCAAATCTAGCAATATTACAATGGCTTAACTATATTAAAACCACTAATCTAAACAATGATTTACTGAGCTGAGGCTGAACACATTCCGTAGCCATGTACTGGTTGTAGAGTAGGGTAGCTACATGGTTGATTGGGAGGGTATGGTGAATTCATCATATAGACTACTGGTTGTGGAGGAGGAACTGTAGTAACTGGTGAAGTACCAGCTGGTGTACTAGTAGTAGGTGTAGGTATAGTAGGAGGAAGAGAACTGTAGCCTGTAGAAGAATAAATATAATAGCAAGTACCACCACCAGATGATTGAACAGAAGGTATTATATTAGGTTGAACATGAGTATTAGAAGTTTGTATGTTAGATTTAGGACTAATGACAGGAGGAGCAGAACCCAAGACATTTGGAGGAGGAGGAGGATAGCATGCATTAGGTAAAGCCATAGACCCGTTAGTATTAACACCAACACCAGAAGCAAGAGTACAAGAAGGTATAGGCATAGATTGCATGGGAACAAAGCATCGAGCATTGGCATTTAATTCCATGTCATGCTCCATCATGTGATTTTCTGGGACTTGTTGATAAATTGGTTGACCTTCACATCGTGCTTTAGCTGCACTAGTTTCAGCTAATAACATCTGAAACCTGGGTGGAATATCTTTGATAGGTTTAACGAGTTTTAAATTACCATACATATAATACTTTTTCTTTCCCTTCACCTTATTGTGACCTGTTGTATCTACAGTGTAAGTGGTAGATTGGTCCTCAGTACTGGATGTTGTACTATCGAGACCACTATCACTACCAGGTGAATCCAGTTTACCTGGACTTGCTACTCTGCTATTGTCCTCTACTGTATCAGCAACAGTTTCACTTGATTCAGTCTGATCTGTTTTAATATTAGATTCTTTACCATTAGGGGACACAGTTTCAGAACTGACATTAATTGTAACACTTTTACGAACACTGGTATTTGAAGAATTTAGTTGGGGAAAATGTGTGTTATATTTACTATCACTAGACACAAACTGACCGTGTTCTACTGGTGCCGGCATTATCATATGTGTCTGACCATCTGGCATCATGGTTGGAGGATAGGCCATAGTTGGTTGTTGCATTACTGTGGACATCATTCTGCACGACTGAAATGAAAGGAAGAAATTATCAATAAACTTAACAGTTACTTAAAATCAAAATTGACATCTAAAATATTCATTCAGGCAGCAATAATGAAACAGTTAAGTAAGAAAAATTACATTGTTCTTACTATTAGATACATCATCATTGTAACATAGATCAGAATTTACTTTCCTGATAATTCTGATTGTATGAGCATTTACAACAATAATTAATAAATTAAATTGATAGTATATCTATATATCAAGTCGTTCTTCACTAAAACAATCCTTCAGTTTTAACATTTTAAAATTTAAAATATCAGTGTAGACTCTTTCATAAATTGGTTTTATTTAACAACTATACTGAAATGAATTAACACAACATGCCAAATCAAATCAGCATACCTCAAATCAAAAACTTTTATTCACAAATATTCCTTCATAAAACATATGCTTAATATCAGTAATTACAATCCAGATTGTTTCCTAAGAAATCTTTTTTTCAACTCAAGTAAATTGCAAAAAAATTGTACACTGACACTATCCAATTTAATAACACAAATGATATATAAACTTTAAACATTAAGTATAAACAAATAGTTCAATAGAATACATTAGCAATCTATTACAACCTTTTAAATCACAACTAACATTATTGTCATTAACATAATATTTAACATAAAATTTACATTTTCAAGTTCTGTTTTAATGTGTCTAAAATTCGCAGATAGATATGATCAAGAAAATTATAATCACAGCTGTATTGACATTTATACGTAGCTAGAGTATGTATGGCAATTATTAACATCTAATAAATCTAACTAAATGAAAGATAGTTTGTCATTCTAGGGTAATATATGCCCACAAAGCAGCTTTGTTAGTTAATGAATAATCTGTCAAGTTTCTATTCAATATTCAGAAAATCTTCATTGCAAATGTAATTAACTCCCTACTCAAGATCTTTTCAATTCCAATAATCGAAGTTTGACACGTTTTAAGTCAAGGGCAAACTCGACTCAAAACCAGTTCATCGAAAATCAAATCTGAAATTATCCAAAAACTAATCAAGATTGCAACAAATTTCTATTGTGTTCACAAACAAATTCAAATCTCATTCAAATCAGATGAAAACAGTAGATTATTTTATTGTGCTCACAAGAAATGTTTACAGATGCACTTTTCATGTAGGCCTAGGCGTATAAAAACGTTTTAAAAATGTACATCATACAAGCTAATGTGAACAGACCGCACATAAAGAATAATTCTCAAAGTGCCTATTTGTCACAATCTTTGCAGTAACACTTTCAAAACAGGCATTGCACCGACTAAAAACCGGCTACATCTTTAATCCTCTAGTACTATGGAAAATGGCACTGAAACTCTTTGATTTTCATTTTATAAAGTACTCTACAGGCCTCAGATGTTACCTTAAAATCTTACAAAGACATGAGTGTTGACTATACAATCAAACAAAAGAGATTTCTACACTTCCTAATATAACCTAATACATCATCTCATCTCAAAAAATGTAAGTCAAACTGTTCACAAGCAATTTCTATATTTCACTTCAATTTCTTCAAATTTTTATTCAGTGTAAATGACACAAAAATCAACATTTAATCCATGAAACACATTTTTCATGTAGCTTCACAGCTACTATATGATTGAACTTCCCTTTAACAAAGCCACTAGTAGTCTAAATTTCTGTACAAGTTTCTATTGTGGGTTTTCAAAATAAATATTTAAAGAAAGGGCTGTTATAAAAACAAAGTAAGATGCAGTAGAATTAAAACATTAGTCTATTAAAATAATCCATCACACACTTCGCATTAGGCTACTACCTCTTCATATTTCAAAATCCTTATCTCAGATTCAAGTAATATTTATACAGCTTTTAAATACAATTTCAAATCCTTATTGCACCACTCAGAAAAAAAAAATAAAAACTTTAAATGAATGGAGTTTTACGTCCTGCATGTTTCTGCACCTAATAGGGCTAATAAAGACAGGGAAAGCCATGCCAGGTCACCAGCCTTAGCCTTCTCTTTTTCAATTTTCAACTGTCAAAGGATCTTAAATGTGCACAATCTGTATCATGCTACCATCCAAACGACTAAAGGCTCTTGCCATGTCAGCCCCTCAGATCTGCTGAAGCACTCAGAAAATGAAATGAATGGATTTTTACGTCCTCCTTTTCTGCACCATGTGGGCTAATGTAGATGGGCAGCGCCATGCAGGGTGCAACGAGGGGAAAAATTTTTTCTGGACAGAGGCATCAGTACACTCTTCTACGATTTCCAACTGCACACAAGGCCTCAATTTATTGACCAATGATTGTTTCTAAAATTGTCCCTGATACTTTTGCAAAATATTTGTGCTCAACTTCCACCAGTAACCCCTCCCCTCAAATTCTCATGTGTCCATTAAAGGTAAGCTTGTTGGTATAAAGCAAACATAGCTTGCCAGGCAAGGTAATATACGCAGCTTTGATTTTAAATAAAAATAGTACAGTAACAATTACCAGTATGGCATACACTTCTTTTGAACTTTTTGAGGCGATACTGAATAGTATTACCAAATTTCGTCAACATCTGTCGTGAATTGGGCCTTCTAGAGTATTTACAGGCTAAAACTTGAATGCATTTTACAGAACAAGAAAAAAAAACAAAAATTGAACACATTTTTTAAGAACAAGGGCATTAAACTCATACTAATCATTTTATTCGAATTTTCTGATTTTCAAAAGGTTTCTTCCTTGGGTGATTAAAAACAATCATACCAAGTATCGTCAAAATCTGTCAAGAATTGTACCTTCTAGAGTGTTCACGAGCAATTGTGGATGGACAGACGGACAGCTTCTGTGTTGACATACATGGGTGACAATAATATGCAAACCCCCCGACCCCTCCATTTCATGTGGTCCTATAAAAAAACAACATGGTTCATTGTAGTTTATGATATCAGCATCTGCTGGAAGCCGACGTTAACTTGTCATCTACCAACCATTGTAAGTCAAATAAAAAATGACTATAAAAATGAACATGATTCTGATTGCAATGTTAATAATCTATTATAATTTATTCCAATAATATTCAATATGTCTAGAATCAGTGATAGTTAACTAGAGATAAAAACTAAATAGGTTGAGATAAAACAATTATCATATATTATACTAGCACATTAATTCACATAACAGACTGTACTAACTACAACCAGTGAAATGAAATGGGATTTAGAACCTTATACCTTAAAAGAGGAATATACCATGCAGTGAGCAATAAGCCAAGAAGTGTCGATTGACCTTCAAGTACACAGTAGCACCACACAAGGTCTCTGGCCAAAACGGCACTATTTCCTGAACCAAAACTCCGTCAATTATGCATTATACCCAAAACCATCTAAAACATATTATTAATCCTTCACCTCAAATGATTAAATATGTAAGAATTAGCTATATACACCTTAACATATATAAGCTTGCTCTTATTTTATTTGTACTATAAACCCAATTTCAAAATAAGATGCTCTGATGAACAGTGATTTTGTTTACTTTGAGTTGATAAATATAACTTCATACCACAATTAAATTTTGCTCAGTGAAATCATTTGCTTTGATATAAACCCAATTTGTAAATCAACTGCTCTGCTAATTCAGTATAATTTACCAACTGTTTTACCAATCGTACCTCAGAAACAGGAATGTGTATGCTAAGCTTATCAGTAATAGTGTTCACAATATAAAAATTTGAGCTTCTAATACATGTATGTCCAGAATTATTCACATTTGAGTGTTAAAACTACTTCTTGAGATTCTGTCATATATAGAAGACATCAATAGAAATAGAAAGTGAAATTCCTACTTTCAGGTATTTTTGAATGAAATTATGCCATTTTCATACATTTTTAGTACTACTGAAGACTATTTACATATATTCTAGACCAAAATCAACTTCCAAAAATGGCCAACCATAGCCTTCAACATTTTAAAATTACAGGATGATCTTTAGTCAATTATTAGACCTTCACCTCAAATATTAAGTACAAATAAGACATATAACCATGTTCAAAAGAATAAAAAGTTAATGTTAAGGAATAAATAGCTCTGCCACCATTAAGCATTAAGACAAGATGTGGATAACTTACCCCTTGATTTACACCTATATTGTTCACTGAGGCCTGAATAGAAAATTTCTCATACTTATCGTTCAGATAAACAAATATTTTTAAAAAATCATTTTCTATAATATCATACACCAGTTTGAATATACCTAGCTATGGGTGTACAATGAATATCATTCAACCATTTCCAATAGACAGTTTTCATCACATGACAATACAAATTTCAAAAGGAAGAAAAACCCAATTCATCTCCCAAAATAACCTCATAAAGGGAGGGTAGCCCTTACCATTTGTAACATTTTAAATCATTTTCTCACAAATTTCATTCTAAATAAAGATGGACCCACCCAGATATTTAAAAAATACATATTGTGAAGAAAACGTAGAAAATTTTAACCTATTAGCTTTAGTACTTAGATTATAAAGAAATATAGAACTGCAGATGTCAATTAATTTCTGGTTTTTTTTTTCATAAAGTAAAATAAATACTCAAGTTATAATTCCATCAAAAAATGTAAATGTGTTCAAAGTAAATCCAGAATCTTGTCAGGTCAAAATCTTCAAAATAGTAAGACAGCATGCAAGGTAATATATGCCCACTGGCAGCTTCGATTTTAAATAAAAATATTTGGCAGTACAGTAACAATTACCAGTATGAAATATTCAACCTTCAGACATACACATCACTTGAACATTTTGGGGAGATACTGCTTAATATTACCAGGTTTTGTCAAAATCCAGCAAGAATCAAGCTTATGAGCTAAAAATAGGGTTCATCCATGGATGATAACAATTTCTCCAAATTACGAAGGCTAAAAACTTTTAAGAACAAGGGCAATAATACGTACTAGATATTTTTTGATTTTTCTGATGTTCAATTAAGTTCATGGTTGGGTGATTTACAAACAACCACACCAAGTTTCGTCGAAATCTATCACAAATTTCATCTTCTAGAGTGTTTTCGGGTTAAAAATTGAACGTGTTTTCAAGAACAAGGATGAAAACTCAGACTAATTATTTTTTTATTTTAAATGGGTGGTTAGAAATACTCACACCGAGTTTCATCAAAATCATACAAGATTTGCACCGTCTAGTGTGTTTACAAGCATTTCAAGATCAAGGACAGTAACTCATACTAAATATTTTTTGATTTTTTCTGATTTTCAATAGAGTTAATCCTTGGGTGATAACAAACAAGAATACCAAGTTTCGTCAAAATCAGTGCCTTCTTTGAGCATTTAAGAGCAATTGACAGAGGGACGGACATGGGTGACGACAATAAACACCTCCCATTTCATGTGTGCGTATAAAAAGTACATGTCAAGCTTTACTGTTTCTTCGTTTTTCATAAATTCAAAGCTGACAGTGTGATGAATAAAAAAGAAAGCTTACCTCTACACCAAAATTATAAAAGTATCTGAGAGTATTCACATCTGTAAAGAAAAATAAAAGAATATATAAAAAGAAAATATTGGGATTTTTAGTTGAATGAATTATTCAATTGCATACAAGCCAATATCCTCATCATCCTGCATCAAAAAATGAAAAGCCCATAAACATTCTGACATATTTACCTTTAATCACTATTTAATAGTTTATGTAGCACAATTGATAATTGGTTTAAGTCAATAATGATATAAAAGTTTTGAAAGCTAAGAGGTCAGTTCTAAATAAAATTTTGGACACTGGACTTTTATATACAATAAATAATTTCAATGAATAATGTATAGTTTACCAAAATAATTCCTTGATAATTTTCTTCAATATTTAATTAACTAAGATTTCAATTTATATTTAAATTCAACAAAATCATTTCAATCAGTTATCATTATTCTTGAATCATTCAACCATTACTACATGAATATAATGCAGCATTGAGTGATGGCAATAATTTAAACCATATATTCCAATAGAAGCCTTCATTTCTTAATTGTTCATATTTGGACTCCATCTATTACAGTGGGAAGCATGTTAATGTGGCAGGGCATGCCATCACTTTCTTTCTCGAGATTTCTGAGTCATTATTGTCAATAATGTTATTAGGGTATTTCCATTTAACCATTTACAATAACAAGACCAATACCACCAAAACTAACCAAATTAAGCAAAGAAAATAAAAGTTGAGAAACTGTTACCTTGGGGTAGGTCTTTGCCATAAGGATCTTGACTTAAGTTGACCTGTCCCAGGTTAGGAGGGTAGGGAACATTTAAAACTGGCATATAGTAAGCGGGAGGGTTGGTGACTGGTAGACCAGTATTAGTCATTATAGTTGGTGGAGTGGTGACAGGACAATATTGTGTATTAGAAACATCTAAATTAACTGATGTATTATAATCTATTTGATGTGTTGGAAGCTGCATAGTTTTAACACTAAAATAGAGTAAGGTGGTAACCATTCAAAACTCTTTAGGTAGTGTAAATGTCTTTGTACTATAGTCAAGTTTCACAATGAATGATATGAAAAAAGCCATCATAGCAGTTTCCATAAATCCATTTAATAAGGGGAACAACAAACGATGCACAAGACTGCATTTCAATAAAACTGACAAATTTATGTATTATTTTTTTTTTACACTGATGTCTATGATATCATGATATATTATGGTATATTATTGAAGATACTGGAATAATTTTTCCTAATGCCAAGTTTTTAAATTGGCACCAGTTCTTAACTAAATGTTCTTTGCATTCCAAAACCAAAAGACACAGAAGCAACAAAAATAATAAGGAAAAATCTGGTTTGAAAAAAAGTCGACTTACACCGACAAATTTTACTTAACATTATTACACTGATATTGAGTTTTATTCAATAACATAATTTATTGCAGTAATTTCACATAACTAGGAAAGAATTTCAAATTCAACAATTTTCCTGCCTGACATTAGTTCTTAACTTGTGTTCCAAAACCATAATTCAATAGGCATGCAGATAAAAGGAAAATAAGTATATCAACTTACCCAGACTGAATCCAGTGACGTGGTGATGAATACCGTCGATTATTATGGTAGTTATTCTGATAATTATTCTGTTGAGAATTAGAATCAGTTATCAGCATAACAGACTAGAAAATAACATTAAATCCTCTAGCAATCTCTACACTCACATAGAATATTCAGTCAAAATCTCACACATTTCATATTAAAGTTATATTTCAATGGTCACTCTTTAAAAATCATATCAGACTGTGCAGTCAGTTTACTAGTATTTTACTAGTATTTATGATTAAGTTACAAACTAAGATGTCAAAAGAATTGGTTACAATCTATACATGATAGCATCTGAATGCCTAAGAGCAATCGGCCATGCCTCATTTCACCCAAGAAATCTAAAGAGGTTAATCAAACAGAATAGTGTAAGGTAAAATACAAATCTTTAACATCTTATTGAACACATTGTAAATGTCCTAAGGGAGTTACCCAGTCGTTATGAAAACAATAATAAGTTTATTTTCTAATATTCTCATAATCAATTCAATCAAATATTATTTTTTCCCTTTGTTGACAGACATGTTATTTAGTGTTTATATTGGTTGGTATGAAAACAACATTTGCTTCAAAAGCTTCAAAATATAGGACTACCTACTTGAATATGATTTAATATAAGAATAAAAGAATTGATTTTTACTAAACTAACAACTTTAAATCCTAACACTATTATTAGTTTAGGTACTGAAATGACTTTTTATCAAAACATAAAGATATAGTGTCAAATATTTGATTTTCTAGCCACCTGTATCTTCTTTCTAAGTATAGTTCTTCTACCATTTAAAATAATATGCAGTCATATGATAACCATTATTTTTTTTCAAATATTATGATTTGATGTATGCACATAAAATTTAAGACATAGTGTAATGGACAAAGTAAGTACTCAGAGTAAGGTATTACTAAAATTATTACACTATTTTCTGTTTCTTTCATTCATTATATTCCTGATGACCATATTGAAATGATTTAATGAATATTAATATCCATATTAATTATCTTATTTATTTGTAACATATTCTTCTATTAAGCCATTTAAGGATTATTGGTTAAAATTGTAATGTTATCTATATGGCAATGATGATGCTTGACTCAATAAGGATGAGGATTTCCCCTCTAACTGTTTATCTGCTAAAATAAGGAAAGTGCAGGTTTCCAGACCGTTATTTAGGAATGAAACTATTGAAACCTTTCAATTTTGAGGTCTTAACCTGACCCTTTCAATTTTCTTTTTTTTTAATAGAAAAAACATGTTCATTCAGATATTCTTGTAATAGATTCAATAGACATTTAAATTTGACACATACAGCAAGCTATTAACTATAAGTACAAGCTTTTATATCTTTTTTCTTACAAAATTTCAAATCAAGCACAAGATGAATAGTGGAAGGCAATCGGTATTATACTGAACTGTCAATGGTAGATTACATCCCCTTTCATTAACTCCCTGAGACAAATCGCTTTGCATTTCTGAATTATTTGTTTATCTTGTAAATCTCTCCAGAAGTAGGTAATTTTGTATCAAATTGATGTATTCCAATGATGAAATTCACGGTCCCTACTTGTGACCTAGGCCAGTGCTTCTAAAAGAGAGTTTCTCTTATAAAACCTTATAATCAACCTATCTCATAATTCTACTATTCTTTGTTAATTACAATAATAAAATATTTTTACTGTTAAAATAGTGATCAATACATCAATTGTAGAGCAATATAGAAATATTATAACAGAATCATGTTGTTACTCAGAGTTACACACTATGCAATCTTCAGACAACTGACCTATTTTCTGCCTACATCCCTACAAAAGTTGAACAAGTAGAACTTATTCTCATGTATACATTTTTCTGAAGATTGCTTAGCATGAAGTAACAACATGATCCAAGTTCTGTTAATTATATCAAAAGTTAATCTCTTATCTTTGTCTGGTTATAAGAATTTCATCATTAAGGTATCAACAACTATTGAAGGTAGGCATACACGTCAATACATCCATGGAATGTTTAGTTCCAACATTTTTTTTAGGGCAGAGGAAAAACACTGTTGGTAGCAAATTAATTTCTGTCTCAGGTATGAATGCAATTATCTTCGACTCAAAATGTCGAAATGCATGACAAATGCTTTCAATTGCCAACCTCAATGTCAACTTTCAATTTGGTCTGATACAAGATGACAGCAAAATTCATCACTTAGAATTCAGGGTTTATCATTCTGTTTGAAATATAATATTACATAAACTATTATAAGATGACATGATATCTTGACCAACATCTTGAAGATTCTGATTGTAGTTATTTTTTGTTTAAAGACCAGGAGATTATCTATAATCCTGTCATGATTAAATCAGTAGATAATAAAATGCCTGAAGGTACAGTTTATCAGTTAGATTTTAGATCTTTAGATGTTATGTTTATACTATTCTTATTTCTCTCCTACACAAAAAATAATATAATCCTACTTGGATCCTCAATAGAAAGTCATCCATTTGAAAGTAAAATTATGTAGAAAAATGTATAACAATTTAGTAGATTACATCTTAATTCTGCTCTGAAGTGAAAAATGACTTAATTTATAATGTCTCAATTTATTTTAATGTTATTTGTGGCACATTCACTTTTTCACAAAATCATTCATTAGAGAATCATTTCTACGATTCATTATTCCTTAATTATTAACAGGTTTTAAGAAATCAAAATATACTTCTGTTAATAGCATTTCAAAGGCTTATCTGCTGACCATAAAAATGGTACAATGAACATCAATTTAGCAACAATAATATTTCTGTTAAAAGGACAGATGCGCCATTTATTTTGACCAATCATAATTTAGGCTAAGCTAATCAGTAATAGTGTTCACAGGTCACCGTTGAAATTTGAGCCTTCAAATCCTTGTGTGTGCAGAGTTATCCGGTTTGAATGTTAAAATGACGACTCATTTTAAGATACTCTGATTTTAAAAGACATATATAGAAATAATGAGTATAATTCCTAGTTTGAAGTATTTTTTAAAGGAGTTATGCACTTTTTGTACATTTCTAGTACTTCTAAAGACTATTTACATATATTATATCAACTCCCCAAAATGGTGCATCTTTTCCTTTAAGATAAAAATCTGATTAACTTACCTTCTTTTTATTTTTCTTCCTATCAATATATGGTATATAACCTATAATATACAAACATATAGATTAAAACTGATCTATCACTCAATCAAACTAATAGACAAACTTTCTGCTTGCTTCCACGTCATTCAGATGCAGATAAAATAATGACTGAGGTTGTGCAGGTCGTGAGAATATCAAATTAACATATAAAGAAACTGAATATTTCCTTTTTTTAAAGTTTTATGAGTACAATGAGGGCAATATTTAAAATTAATTTAAAATAAAAGATTTTTCGGTTCAAAAATTGAGAAATCAACGTGAAAGTTATTAATTGATCAATGTAATGCCGTGTAAATTAATTCAGATTAATCAGATTTTTGGACAAAACACCCCAACATTTCAATACATCACAAATTGTAAAGGTTTTAGATACGTCAATAAAGTTTACAACTATGACATTTATTTGAGTAAAATACATGAAAGGAGCAAAATAATTTAATAGTTCAACAAGTTTCATCCTCTTGACTTGCTTACGTTAATTTTAATGGGAAAAGAAATTATATTTAAAGGACACTCCCATTAATATAATGTGAGGGATTCATAGTTAATCAAATTCTTTCATTCAAATTGAATATAAGGCTTGAATTGTTTTACTATATAGAATAGGACCTTATATAACCCTAATAATATATTCTATAGGTTGACACATACTATTATTTCCAAAATCTAATCAAAATAGCTTTCCAGACAAGGAAATAAACCCCACTGGCAGCTTTGATTTTGAATAAAATTATTTAGCAGTACAGTAACAATCACCAGTATGAAATATTCAACCTTCAGTCATACACTTCTTTTGAACTTTTTGGGGTGATAGTGAATAATATTACCATGTTTTGTCAAAATACAGCATAAATCAAGTGTTTACGAGCTAAAATTGAACGCATTTTCAACTTTGAGCTCAAAAACTCACAAAAAAATAAGTTTTGTCAAAATGCTTACAAGCTAAAAATTAAATGCGTTTCCAAGAACAAGGGCAATTACTCATAAAATAATTTTGATTTTTGATAGGGTTTATCATTCAGTGTTTACAAACACTCACACCAAGTTTCTTTAAAATCCATGGAGAATTGTACCTTCTAAAGTGTTAAGGAACTACAATGCATTTTTGAGAACAAGGTAAATATTTTTTTTTATTTTTCTGATTTCAAATGGGTTTATCCTTGGGTGATAACAAACACCAAGTATAATAAGACTCCGTCAAGAGTTGTGCCTTCTACAGTGTTTTGAGTGTAAAAAGAAAAGACATCTATAGGAAAAGAAATTCCTAGTTGGAGATATCTTTTAAAGGAATATTGCATTTTTCCTACATTTCTAGTGCTTCTGAAGACTATTTACATAATATTCAAGAATCAAATCAACTCCCCAAAATGCCCCACTGTGCCAATCAAGACAGACAATGTGACTGCAAAATTGTGCCAGGAAAAGTAAACTTCTGACAAGCAATATTTGACCACAAACTCTTATTTCATTGCATTTCAAAGGATGATTAAATACAAGACTAAAGACTAGACCGATATCACATAGATTACAGACTTATATCACATACAAATTTAATTCTTGTTGAAACTTTCTCAAGTTTGTGTTAATATGAGTTACTTCTCTAACAAGAGAAAGTTAAGTACATGTTTAAAAGTTTAGAAAGGTGAACCTTGGTCCACTCATCTTTCATTTTTTATTGACAAATCTGTCTTCTCTAAATACAGTTAGAAAAAAAAACATGATAAAGAAAGGGAAAACAATCCTTAAATGAAATAAACTGTTTTCATTGTAGAGTAGAGTAACCTTGAAGAGAACTTAATTCTAACAATTGAAGATACTCTTAACATTTTTAAATGAAAATACACATATAAAGGCACGATTTGAGGTGATTATTTTCTCAAGGGCTTTTAGTTTGTTGTTGTAAGTCCAGACAACTTCAGTTCGACATAAAAGTAGTAATGCACATCTAAGACTGATAAACAAACACAAATGATTTGTAGCTTTTCTGCACATCTTAAAGAAGAAATACACTGACATGGAAGTTGCAATACCAATGGATCGTACATTTTGATAAATTTTTACTTGCACATGGTAGATAATATTGAAAATGGTCTATTTAGATTTAGAAAACAAATATACAGAGAGGGGTAGTGGGAATCTATTTGTCAAAATATTCAATAAAAGAATACAAAACAAAAACCATTGTTGTTTAGCGCTAATCAAATTCATACTACACAAAAAAATTCTAGCAACTTTTCTAGCAACAGCAAGATTACACATTAGGTGCAGACGTAATATATTGGTGTGATATTTCATAATTCTAAAATAAAACACAGATAGATCTAGACACAGATAAATAGAGCATAATTAAATTCTTATACTTACCACCGTCTGATAAAGAATACTGACAGCCTAAAAATACAGCAATATTTGCTATAGGTTATTTATATTGAATATAAATCATTTTGAATAGTTTACGTCATTAAATCAAGTTATTTAATAAAATAATCAATATCTCTCTAGTCCTATATCTGTTAGACCATACTAGTGTCAATCTTTGTTCTATATCAAAGATGATAAATCATATATCATTTTCCTATAGTAACTTTGAGAGAAAATATCCAATTGAATAATATTGTGAGGTGAGAACTCACAAGTCAGGAAAGTTCAGCGAGGTTCAGTATGTCACGAGCACAAATGAACATAGCAATTCCATCAGACCGCAAAGCGTTAAGAGAGTTCAAAGCATTAGCGCCTCCACGGACACGCCAGGGTTCAATTTATATTAAAAAATTGATTAGCAATCTATCATACCAAATTTCAGTTTGGTTAATCAAGTTAAATTTGGTTCGTATTTCATTAACATTCAGTGTCAATTTTAAACTTCAGATGGATCTTGCCAATGACAATTTTTCCTTAAGTATGACTGGAATTGCCTTATAATCTAGATTTCTAGATACAATTAGATTTGATTGACCAAACTGAGAGGGGAATCTTACCGTTTCTAGAAGCTGGAAAATGACGAAGACTTATATATGGTACTGTTCGTCTGAAAGGAAATTTCAAATAGATTACCAGGAACTGTTTTGTAGGATATTTGGTAGAAAGACCACCACCATCATGAAATGTCTAACCCTTAGTAACACACTTCTTTTTAAACCATTTAGAATTTCAATAGAACTTAATCTAGAGTTATAATAAATAATCTTGATATCATAAAAAGAGTTCACAAAACATATATATATTTAGATTTCATTTTTTATAGGATTCATCCTTGGGTGAAACAATTACATAGATTTTTGTCAGAATCGTCATTGTGCCTTCTAGTGTGTTTATGACAAACATCAGATTAAGAGTAAGATAAGAGAACACCTGATTTGAACTGTTGAAAACTGGGCCTTATTCTAATGTCAGCCACTTTCATCTTTGATGAATGTTAATATTACATTACTATTTTAATATAATAATAATCAATTCTTCAATAAATCTCAGGTGTCCAGAATTACTGAATGAATCCTATGAATCAAATTCCTACTCACAACTGTATAATTCCTAAATCAAATATTTTATGGCATTGAACTAGTCATAACTGTCATTCAAACTCACCCTATGATCACCCTTTTAATATAACATTTTAACAGTTCTTATGTTATTGCAATATGATATAATTAAAACATTGGACTGATAGTGTCAATACTAGCAGCACCTTAATATATATTAAGACTATCACAACTTTAAACCAATTACAGACTATAACAAAGCAATACCTATAGGTTATAAAGCAATTTTACAATATTATATCAAGCTAACAAAGTTTATGTAAATAACAGTGAGGAATAACAACTAATATTGAAAAATCTAATCTGAATGGGAGTGTGTCTATATCCCTGTATTTCTTAAATTCATTGGTATATCTTTAAAAGAATAACTACGGTAACCGTCTTTAAAGGGATTATAAAGAGGTTTTCTAAATTTTGTATGTATATTGGGAACACTTATTGCATCAATTTGCACCATTCCAATTTAATATCAGATTTCTGTAGTTCCTGCAATTCCACTAAAAGTAAGTGTTTGATGAAATCACTAATCGTGAAGGGCCATATGTTATAAAGCATATTTTGCAGTGTGTGACTTCATCAAACACTTATTTTTTGTGGAATTGCACGAACCACATTCGACTCAATAAAAATTGGAATGGACAAAACTGATGCAATCAGTATACACTCAAAAAATTAGAAAACATCTTTACAATTTCTTTAAACCAAACTAACCTACATGTCTTCCTTCCTATGAGCTATATTTATTTCCAGCAACACTCAATGGTTTAGATTTAGTTTCCAAATTAAACAACCAAATGCTTTCCATTTACAAGCACTTCTGACTAACATCAAGGATGATATGACATCAAATCACTGATGAAAAATTCTAATTAAAAGCTATGAGTAAAACTTGGTCAGAAGATTCCACTATATTGAGATTATCAAGTCAATTTATAGCATTATTACACTAACTCAGAAACTTGAATTAAAAATAATTTGACCCATTGTGCTAAAACTTCTTTCAAGAACCAATTAAATTTTGTTGTACTTATTTCACAAAGGATTTTTTTTTTTTTTGTGTGATTTTGGAGGGCTACAGAATATCGCTTTCAAGGTGTGTCGTGTTATCAAATAGGATGCAGCAACAATACATCAACCACGTTTTCTTCAATTTCTTAATCAGACGAAATTGGAAACTTCTCAATACATCAGACATAGAGGTGAAAATTGATGTTAAATATAATGTGAAAAATTATCCATGTTGAAATGTTGATTTTCGAGATATTGTTAATATCATTATCAACATTTAACAAATATCAATCATATCAGTTTTATTCAAATGTTTCACTTCCATCTTTTGTCCATGTCAGGACTGGAGTTTTTAAAACTAAATTGTGGACAAATAATCTTCTAGTTTGTGCACATTTTGTTTACTTAAAGCAGATGACATTGAGGTTTTATTATGTTGAATAGTCCAGTATAAACATAAAGCCTGATGTGGCAATTCTCACTTTGTTTACTTGTATCTTTAAGAAACTAGCCTTTCTTTTCAAGTTACATTGGTTTCAACAATCAAAACAAAATACACTGTCAATATTACTTATAAGTCTTGCTAATTCAACATGCTAATTCATCGATCATGAAGAAGCAATAAAACTTGATCAAATTCTGAGTGTAAAGATAGCTTGCCAGGCAAGATAACATATGCTCATTGGCAGCTGTCAGAAATGATAAAAAAAGGCTTTAGTGACTAAAGTACGAATGTTATCATATTAAAGAAAACTTTATGAGTTTGAATTCAATGATATATATATTTACTGCCAGTTATTTATGCTGAGTAATTCCATAAAATTTTTTAAAATCAATATCAATAACCCAAATACATCAAATCATTAAATTACACAGCTCTTATATCAAGGGCAAAAGATTGCTTGCCAGGCAAATTAACATACACCCACTGGCAGCTGTCAGAAATGATAAAAGTCTTTAGTGACTACAGTATGAATTTTGTCATATTAAAGAAATTTTAATAGTTTGAATTCAATGATATATATATTTACTGCCATTTATTTATACTGGGAAATTCCACCGAATTCTTAAATAACAATATCAATAACCCAAATTATCGCATCAATATACATGATCACACCATGTTTCATTAAAATCCATTGACAACTGTAGTCTCTAATGTGTTCATAAACAAATTTTGACGCGTTAAGGGCAATAACTGGAAGAATGTTCATCGAAATATCATCAAATTTGAACTTGACCTTGATCTCATCAATATTAATGATCACATGAAATTTCATTAAAATCAGTTGAAAACTGTAGTCTCTATTGTGTCCACAAACAAATTTTGACCCATTTCATGTGGGCATATAATAGAAAAAAAAGGCGGTCTCACAAAATGTTAGAAGAAATGTACAACTCTTTCACGTTCACCTAAAGTAGCTACGTAATCTTAATTTTATTTTTATCTCATTTGTATTGATATCCAAGTCTTTTCAAATCAAAGTTGATATTTACAACTATCAATACACCACAATTACAGACTTATATTTATAGTAGACATTTTGAGAATTTGTCTTTTAACTTGCAATAAGCCAGTTTTATAATGATTTTTTAAGTAATTTCTTTAAGAAGTATTAAAATAAATTCAAACTCGCTATTGACTTTCCCCAGGTTTTTAATCCTCAACTATTATCACACCTATGAGAAGTAGCTTACCAATATAAACCTTCAGTCAGTGAAGCGAAGACTATATGGTGACTATAAGAGGTAAAGAATAATAGTGATAAAGATCAAAGTAAAGGAGTATTTTGTAAGCACATTAACTAATTCACCCAGATTTACTGGTCAATCTATAAAACTCACACTAGTATGATTTTGTTATGTCAACTAGAAGTAATACACGTTAACACATGGTCATAGAAAGAAACATTGATATTCTTAAGAGGATTCTTTCTCCATGTATCTGTTGACCAAAATTTGGGGTATTGATCTTATCCTGGATTATTCATTTCTATTTCAGCTCTACGAACTTGAATAAGCTGAATTATTCTAGATCATCCCTTTGGAAGTTGATGGTCTGTAGCTAATGATCACTAGCAAAGTTCTATTTTCGCTTTGAAAATGAATTGAATGAAGCTTTAAGTTCTACTCTTCTTAATCTTATTTGACTAATGAAAACAGACAAAGCATTGCAGTGTGCAATAAGAGAAATTTGCCAGAACAGCGGCATTATCATCTGTTGTAGAATCTTTAGTCTGTAGCACACCAAACCTTAGTTTATATTCCCATTCAAACAACTAGGTGCTTTTTCCATGTCAGCCCCTCCACCTGTATCATTGAGGGAAACTGTTAACCCTGGACTTTATGCTTGCGAGCAGGATCTAATTCATTGAGTCACTGTAACTCAAAATTTTTTTTTTCACAGGTTTCATCGTCAACACAATAGGCTATTGTCACCTCAATAGGTCATAACATCTTGACTAAAAATATTCAAACCTCAAGATTTCACAAAAACATAGTCAAAAACATCTCCCTTTATTCCAGCCTCTGTTAAGCTATTTTGACAGTTGTCGGCTGGAGAAGAGACAGAAAAAGAAGGTTCTTTTTTATGGATATTTTTCACACCTCTGATGTGTTTTTGTTGCTTTGGCTTAGTGTTAGTATCACTAGACCCTGTAACCCTCAGATTTTTGGTACTGCACTCAGTCTTAAATGGATGGCGAGAGATTAGTTCCTTAAAACAAACTTTGATATAACCACAGACGTGACATAAATGGTTTAGGGGATAATGATGGTATTATTGAACTTAATGATTTAAATGAATAGGTCCATCAAACCTTTGAACATGCAAAATATCACTACAATCTCTACACCAGCTGACAACTGTCAAACAGAATAGAGGTAGGTGTCTCGGTCTACCCATAACAGGGATACAAGTTTGTAACACGAATAAAGAATAGAAAGATATTAGATATACTATAAGCTTTTCTTCTCATTGCTGACAACAAATTTGAAATGTACAAGAATGCTACACCTTAGAAAATATACAGGATTATAAAAAAATAACTTACTTTTCACCAAGTTCTTCTAAAAAGACCACAACTGGACCTTGATTATCACTTAGTTCTTGAATAAAAGCATTATATGCTTTGGATGGTTGACTTGATAATACAACCTACAAGTTAAAAACACAGTTTTAAAATATCTTAAAACGTGGAGTCAACTGATAATCCACTTGTACTATATTCATCAGTCAACAGCAGATGTTGATCAAGTTAATCTCTAGTGGATTAAAGCCTTGGGCAGAAGATTAAATCATTATCCTTGATCTGTTATAAACTGCATCCCTGCATAGAAAGTTGTATCATCTTGGGTCAAAATGTTCAAGCAGCTCTACGTCCTACAAATTTCACAACTCAAACCACAAAAATAATTTAAATCTGCAACATACTGCACTCATTGTTACATTAGACTATTATTACTCAGACAACTTAAACCAATATTCTTATCAAATAAAACTCTATGAAAGAATCAAGTCCACAATTTAGAAAATTTGTCCTTCTACAAACATTCAAATAGTACGTTAAAACACTAAATTTATCTCAACTGCAGAATTCCATTCATTTAAACAAATTGCATTTTCTGGACTATTTCCTGTATTTGATTAGTATTTAAGTTGAGCTAGTGAAGCAAAAAACAACAAGTAACAATCATTCACATTAATTCAAAATACAAATATTGACATCATCTACAAATACTTTTAACTCTAACCACTTTCTTTAAAAGGTTACAGTTTTTACCACAAATCACATTTAGCATGCATGTTAAACAAAAAGTTTTCCACCCAAATTGTTATATTTACAATGATAAACGTAAATAAAACTCCCTCACCGTGAGTGAAGGGTTACAATAATAAAACTAACTGTTATACTTTTCTCATAATACCACTGTTTTTATTACTTAAAATAAACAAAGAAAAATATAGAATTAGACACAGTACTATATATATCTCATAAAAAAACAAATTTTTACTTTATTCACTTTTAGAAATACTCTTATCTATTTTTTGAAACTTTTACCATTACATCTTACCAATTGCAGTCTATATAAAAGTTGAGACAGTTTGTATTTGTGTTATTCCAGATTAATATAAGTAAGTCCAATGTTAGTACTCAGGAATATCTCAAAATAATTGTGAACATACAGTACTAAGACCTCTAGCTCTGATTGGTCAGATCAAGAGATTTATGGTTACTTTTTGATAACAGAATCCTGATGGTTTAATTTGAAATCTAAATATCAAATCAGAGTGAATTCTATATATGCAATATGTCTCTGTATTTTTATCACACTATCCTGCATCAATGAAATGGTTTACTTTTTTTTCTTTACTTTAGATGTAAATTATAATTTCAATGAAAACTGCATTACCTAGATATGTTTATATCTCCTTAGATTCTTGCTTTTTACCTAAAACAGATAAAAGGTAACCCAACAGATTCAAAACTAGCCCCTAATCATCTCTGAAAGAAATTTCTGTGAACAGAATCATATATAACTAATAACCTTCAGATATCACCATCTATAATTTCAATCATTAAAATTTACACTTTAATGATATTTGCACAAGACTTATATGATAGTATAAACTTTTTAATATACCACTATACAATAAAAGACAGTGATAATCTGCATTGATAGTATATAATATCAAGTGGAGGGTGGACATGTATTTCATCAATACCTCTTAAATTACATCAATCTAATTATCTAACAGAAAATGTGTTAAAATGAGATAAAGTACTTGAAAACTACAAAAGACTAATAAAATTCTATGATTGAACACAGATAAATTACATACAATTGGTGTCATAATGTTTGGTCCATGTTATCAATTCTACCAGGTTATGGTGTACATGCTTCATCCACACAGCCAATAGGCAATTTTTGTAGGTTTTTATACCTGCTTGAAAGTGAGAGTAGCTATAGGCATGTGGATCTACAGTGAATGGATGTTTGCCATTATTGCAGGTGTGTGTCAATTTAATTAAAATTAGATTACAATTTTGTTTTTGTTGTTGTCGGTCTCCATTGTGATCCCACAAGATTTATACTAAGGTCACATACTGGTGACGTATCAACCTATTTACAGCAGACAATCATGCACAATTCTCTTGCCAATCGGAATCACTCTTACAAGCGAGTATTGGCAGTCTTATCTCATTGGTCATAACGCTTAATTCTGAGTTTCCCTATCCCACAATTCATTGTCAATATATAGATGTAGATTCTGCATGATTCTGTGATTGGTTGAAATGAACTTCAGCAGTTTTCTACCTTGGTATATATCTTTTTTTAGATTACAATGTAAACTGTAAGTACGAGTAGAGTGTGAGTAGAGTTCTGAAATATCGATACAAGTTGAGGCAACTGGAAATTTACTGCTGCTAATTTTTTTACAAGGGAAAACAGTCCTTGACTCTATGAAAAGAGGCAGAAGCTCCACTCTAAAAAATTCTAGAAAGATCATGCAGTATGTCTAAAATGCAATTATATTAGAGTCATTCAAATATCTTGAAATGAGGGCATTTTAGCCAGGAGAATTGCATTAGCCATTCCTCTAAAACTAGACAGAGTCAATTTGGGTATAATTCTACAATAAACAATTTTACGGCCATTCTGTTACCTAGTTTACTATCAATTTTGATATAAATGAAGAATTATTTATTGGTTATTGAGAAAAAAAAAAACAACAGATGTTATCATAAAATAGATTACTTTAAGTCAGTAGTAAAAAAATAGCCAAGCAATGCAATACATCGGCGACAAAAATCAAAATAAATCATAAAGATAGCTTGCCAGGCAAGGTAATATACGCCCACTGGCAGCTTTGATTTTGAATAAAATTATTTAGCAGTACAGTAACAATCACCAGTATGAAATATTCAACTTTCAGTCATACACTTCTTTTGAACTCTTTAGGGCGATACTGAATAATATTGAGTATGAGTTATTGACCTTGTTCTTGAAAACATGTTCAATTTAGGTTAGCGCCTACACTCTAAACATGCAGCGCCATCACATGAAATAAATATTAAATTCTTCAAGTTTGTGAATTATGATTGTTGACATGTTTACTCAATGGTAACTGATGCATAGAACATCATTGCTGACCCACAAATCTTTATTAATCAAATTAAATCAATTAACAAAGAAATTTACATAGTGGCTTTTTTATTTTATTAAAATTTCCAGAAATAGATAACTTATCAAGTCAAGTTTTATTAAGATGTGTCTTTAGATAGCATGCTGAAAATAGCTTTTAAAATTTTGCAACTGTGGAAAAATTGTACTTTATTATATGGATGTATCAAGAACCTAAAACATTTGAGTTGATATAGATTAATGTTGTAGTTGTTAACATGATGCACTCATGAAATTGTAAAGTTGATTTTTTCAAGTACACTATTTTTACTATAATAGACTATGTACAAACTGTATGCTATTTAATCCTATTTAGTATTGTACCTTTGTGCTGACAATAAAAAAACTTTTTACAGAAATAAATAAAAAAAGTAAAAAAATGATATGAATCCCCCAAATAACTTACATGATTTGATCGCTTACCGTTGGAAATTTTCAAGTTTATCAACTAAGCATCTCTTTAACAGTTTCACATAGTAACTATGATTAGTATGTATAAATATTGTATGAAAATAAAAGTATACTAAAAAAGTAAATCTAGAAAAACTTGCCTAAATCATCGAAGCACGTACTGCAACAAGTTAAATCTACCATATTCATCTGTTTAATATCATTAAGTAAAATGTAAATTTGAGACTGGTAAATGATGTTAATATTTCATTGATTTGCTTGACTTCTCTTAAACCTCAAATATAACTCCACCCTTAACTGTATGCTAATCTGTCAACACCCCTCACATTGTTCCTCCAGTTATCTGCTGTATGTCACACTAGTTAGCACTATAGTCAGGGTGCGGCTAGTAAATCAGACTGGGATAAACACTATTCAATCAACATGCATTGATAATCTATTATATACTTCAATAGACATAATATAATCAAGTGTAAGAGAGAGTTTGACATGAAGACCTAACATTCTATTCAGGTATAAACGTAGATGGCCATTCAATGTGGACAGCCTTTGAAAGAAAATAAGATATATAAATGAAGTAAGCATCACGATTTATCAATGAGCAGATCACCTCTCTGACATAAATATAGTCAATAGACCCTTTACACCCTTTATCTTTAACTGATCACAATCTTTCAAACCAGTACCTATTAAGAATTAAAAACAACAAACGTGCTGAAGTAAACTTTAATGAAACTCAATAAGTAATAATATTACCAATCATGTAGCAGTAGGATTAATGATTTATTTATATTGATAAATCATGTTTTAGAAACTCCCAGAAGGATTTAACTAAGACCTTTTTTTTCAGTGTTTCACCAAACTCAACATTGAATATTGTTTCTTAAATTCCTTATATGCATACCAAATAATACATCTCTTTAACTTGTCTTTAAAACCAATTTGACCAATTAAGCAGTCAATTACCATCACAACATTCGTTCTGGTTGAGCTACAGGTGCTGTATTCAATACTTTCATGAAGAGTGCAAATCACTCATTTCCACAGCACCAGTATTTGTCATTCAAAGATATTTTGAATGATTCAAGATGGTTAAAACACTCATATCTTCTTCCATTGTTTTGTGAATACATGTTTTAACATGGTCTACATTTCGTTTTGTGGGAGTGGAAATTAGATTGGTGCTATTTAAATCTGACCAATCAGATTGATAAAACGGTAATGAGGTAGGAAAAACAAAACACATATTATTAAGATTTGCCACTCCAAAGGGTTGATTTTCTATCAGCTTCAATATTTTACCGAACATCATACTTCATTTTGTATCGTTCATATCAATCAAAACATTTAATGACATTTTGGTTACGATCCCAAATATAGTGTTATAACAAGTGGTTTAATTGGATTGGCTCAGATTTCCGAAAAAGATTTCAGGGCCAATTTTGATTTATCTATGAATACCTAATTTTCCACAGCCCTGAGGAAGTATGACGAATGGTGATGTGTTTTGGACATGATGGTCCACGTCATGGTCTGCTTATGCATTGCATTCAGGTCAGGTATAGGTTAGGCTTTCTTATCAAGATTCATAATATCCAAAAAACCAAGATCAAAACCTACCTGACACTTATCTCCTGGGGAAAATCCGCAATTTTGAAATCTCAACTTGGCTTCTGGAAAACAAAGAAATATTATTGACTATTTATTATTTTCAAATTTCTAACTTCAACCCTTAATTTAAGAAGGTTACAAAAAAGAATCCCATTGTTCTTTAAACAAAATCAAGCAGCATTCAAAACTTATATTGATGCTTGAAAAAAAAATCATTCAGCTTACTAAGTAGGCTAATGTATAATGAGACATGTCTGTTTTTTAAACATGATCTTACACAAGATGTTGGTCAGCCTAAACAAATATTGACTATAATGTAGTCAATTATCTACTATTTGGTCATTTATTCACAGTATTGTTATAAATATAATACCAGATAAATACAAGATAACTGATCAGAGACAAAAACAAACAACCTCTTCATGAAATCCGGAAATTTCAACCTACATCCCTTTGATTCAAAGGAGTGATATCCTTATCCAAAACTAAAATATTTCCATAAGTTATCACAACTTGACCATGTAACACTTTGATATGCTGTGTTGGTGCACTGCTTTTTTGTGGCAGTGGAATAGGTCTTTAGTGATTAAAAGTACAAATTTTCTCATATTTAAGAAATTTTATTAGTTTGAATTCAATGACATATATATTTACTGCCAGTTATTTATGCTGAGAAATTCCAGCAAATTTTGCAAAATCAGTATCAATAACCCAAATACATCAAATCATTAAATCACACAGCTCTTATATCAAGGGCAAAAGATTGCTTGCCAGGCAAATTAACATACACCCACTGGCAGCTGTCATAAATGATAATTGAGTCTTAAAAGTGACCAAAATATGAATTTTCTCATTACAAAGATCTTCATAATGTATTTGTAGTGTGAATTTATTCATATATATATATAAATATATACTGTCAGTTATTTATGTTGAGTTTTTCACAACATTTTCAAAATCAATATTAATAACCTCAAATACATCAAATTAAATTATCAAATCACTCTGCTCTGATGTCTTAGATCTTGTAAGATATTTTATCAGTCAAGGACAACCGTTTATCTAAAAATCAAATTCAAACTAAACCAAGACCTCATCAATAAACCACACCCAATTTCATTCATATCAGATAACAACTGGTTACCTAGCAAGATACGCCCACTTCTGATAAATTTTCAGTATATCCTGTTTTTTTAAACAATCTGGTACAAAAGAAATTCACGGTCTCTTATAAAAATAAATTTTGTAATAAAAACCCATTTTAGTTTGAACTGAGATCGTCTGATAAGCCCGCATCATTAGTCTTTGGTTAACCTGAAGGAATATTACTTAGTAATATACATTCATCATTATCGTATTGACAAAAAGTTGTGCCAATTTCAATTACTAGTAATTAAGATTTTATTGATAGAAGTACCTTATTTAGCGACTTAAACGATCATATTTTGATCTACCTCACCAAAGGAAAAATTATTCCTCTGGGTCAAATCATTCCTGCAACCCAGGACTAGCAGGTGGTAAACATTTTATGTGTTATTAAAGTTATTGCATGATCGAAAAGACAATTTCAATGGACAGTAAACAAGTTCATCCAAATATATTTTTGCATCAAAATTTCAATCAGATATTTTGAATTGAAATCGAAAAATATATAGACACCTTGATTTAACCATCTATCAACCCATCCGGTGAAATTTGACAGTTTCTCTGGAAGCCACACCCATAATTTGGTCATCAAAGGCAAATGTTCACCTGGTTGTCATGGCGACAGTTAACTTTGAACTCTCAATAGGACTGAAATCGGAATAATTTAGTTTAAAAATGCCAGGTGTAAGACTAACTAGGTCAAAAGATGGCAATAAAAATTCAATCCGCAGTGGAATATCTGAAATCAAATGCAACTTATGTTCCAAACACAGAGATCGTCTAAAGATTATGAGGAATTTTAACAATAGTTTTTGCGTTGGTGTAACCGGCACAGCACTCAAGAGTGACAATGTTGAACATCTAAATTCTGAAATGCACCAACAAGCATGTAGAATTGAAAAAGTCCAGTCAGAAGAGGCTACCGCTCCAAAAGGGACAATAGTTCATGCTCTTTCGGCAGTCCAATCTTTGGTGTTATTTTTTTTTTGTATTACATTTTTTAAAATTACTATTCAAGTAAATTTATCACTTATCACCATTCATAACTGAAATACTTAATACATATAGGTACCTATCTATACACAGTGTCTCTACTACATTCTAAAAAGTGATATGCAATTTCAGCTGCTACATGCTAAACTGCTCCGTAAAATTTGAAACTGCTATGCAATTTCGGCCCATTGAGCAAAAAACTGCTATGCAAAAAAAAAAGTAATTCGAACCCTGTAACTATAGATCAACTACTCTAGGACTTTCGATGCTGGATTGTGGTATGGAGGGGTGCCGGTTTACCTGTATTTACCACCTGTATATTATATAGTGACTGTGCCGGGACATGTATCAGTTTAATGAGGATGCGGTTTATAGAGGATGCGGTTTAGAGGGATTTCACTGTACATGATCACACCAAATTTCATTAAAATCTGATTAAAAATGAAGTCTCTATTGTGTTTACAAGAAATGCTCACAGATCGACGGCAATATACGTCCAAATTTCCATTCCAAAGTTTTAACTGGTGGCAGTTTTCCACCAATTCATTTGACTACCCTTTCAAGTGCTACCTGTCATTAACCAAATAATAATTCCTTCACTTAAGTACTGTAATACCAATTGCCATATTTTTAAAGAATTGCCATCAAAATTCAAATCAATTATGAGCGATCAACAATTACTTTAAATCAAAAAACTTGAATTGAAATTGGGATGCCTCACTCAATTGAACAAAAAATCATACATCACCATTTCCTCACTAACTGTATTATAAAGGATATCCACCTTGTTAATGCATGTTTACACTATAAACTATTCATTGTAATGTAACAATGCTTGTTCAAAATCATATTAGAAGCAACAGGTAAAGACTAGAACACACAACAATGTCTTTACTTATTCAACATCATTGATTTCCTTTGTCACAGCTTGAAATCTACATTCTAATATTCAGAGCTAAAAATGTACAAGTTTTTTTTTCAAAGTCACCAAAGCAATATATATATATAAACTGAACAAAATTATTTTAATATAGCAAAAATCGGTAGGAATTACATAAAAATCCAGGTGAATCAATTTGTACAATTTTGAGAAGGTTCAGGTTTGGTAGAAAATTTACTTTTAAGCTATATAAATATATATGAAAAGAATATCAGTTTATAGCAACAAAATCTATATCAAAAGAAATCTGTTACCTAAATTTTGTTACAAAAATTTGAAAGTTAAGATAGTTTTGTGAAAGGTTTGATGATTTTCCACGTGGAGAAATAGGTACAATAACATTAAAGATAGCTTGCCAGGCAAAATAATACATGCCCACTGGCAGCTTTGATTTTAAATAAAATTATTCGAGAGTACAGTAACAATCAACAGTATGAAATATTTAACCTTCAGTCATACATTTCTTTTGAACTCTTTGGGACGATACTAAATAATATTGAGTATGAGTTATTGCCCTTGTTCTTGACAACGTGTTCTTTTTTTAGCACGTAAAAACTCTAGAAGGCAAATATTCAACTTTCAGCACGGTACTGAATAATACAACCAAGTTCTGAAACATTTCTCGATTTTTTTTATTTTCGATAGGTTTCATCCATGGGTGATAATAAACAATTCACCAAGTTTCGTCAAAATCTGTCATGAAATGAGCCTTCTAGATTGTTTAAGAGCTAAAAGTTAACAAGTTTTAAATAGCAAAGGCAATAACTCCTACTAAATATTTTGAATTTTCTGATTTTCCATTGGGTTTCTCTGGGTAATAAAAAACACTCATGCCAAGTTTCGTCAAAATCAGTCAAGAATTGAGCATTCTAGAGTGTTTACGAGCCAAAAATTTAATGCGTTCTCAAAAACAGGAGAGAACTCCTACTCTACTAAATATTTTTGATCCTTCAGTGATAACCAACACTCACACTAATTTTCGTCAAGAATTGAACACTTTTGCAAGAACAAGGGCAATTACTCATACTAAATATTTTTGGATTTTTAACAGGATTTATCCTTGGGTGATAAAAAACAATCATGCCCAAGTTTCGTCAAAATCCGCCAAGAATTGTGCCTTCTAAAGTGTTTACGAGCTAAAAATTGAACACATTTTCAAGAACAAGGGCAATAATTTATACTACATATTTTTCAATTCTTCTGATTTTAAATAGGGTTCATCCTAGTGTGATTACGAACACTTACACCAAATTTTTCAAAATCTGTCAAAAATTGTGTCTTGTAGTGTTTACGTGAAATTGGGGATGGACCGACAGACTGACATGGGTGACGGCAATATTTCATGTGGGCATATTAAAATGACCAGCTTTCAGGTTGAAAGTAAGCAGCCAACTCACCTCTTTTCTCCTCTTCCACTATATCTTTAGCTACGTTTCTGTACAAAGTTGAATCTAAAGCTTTGGCTATTCTATATGGTAAGGGTGGTGTTAATCTAAGAGTGATCTTCTACAATAGAAAATCTTTATTATTGAAATTTAGATTTTTTGGCATGGCAATTAACCTTCTTTTTTTGTAAAGCAATTTCTCTAAAAATTATAAAAATAAAGTAATTTAAATTAAAAATTCAAAACGATAATAACTGTGAGACTGGTTGTTAATCAGAACTGACAATACTTTTGAGTTTGATCAAGAGTGCTTGAACAAATATAACTATTCAATGTAAATGTCATGCAGACTGCTTGGACCTGAAAATTTTGGTGGATATTTTGGGATTTCAAATGATTGTTCTTTGGTTGAAGAACATAATAGGATCACACAGCTCATTTTTCTGAAATAACTCTCTACTTTTGTTTCTATTTGCTACGAATAATAATTTTTTTATGCCTTAAAGAGTTCACTTTTTCAAACAATCATTAAAAAAGCAGTGCAACTGTATCCAAGAAAAAATTAATATCACAAAATAAGATTGGTTATGTAGACTCTCTACAGAAGACGGTACTATAAAGCTTCATCCTTACCTGTGATAACTCGTATTCTAATGAAGGTGAGGAGCTGGATGTGCAAGATAAATTACTAAAACAAAAAATAGTTGATATCAGAAGAGTAACAGGTGTCTAAAATCAATTAGTCAATGAAAAAAGCTATATATATTGACAGCTTTATTTGATTAGCTTCTCAAATTTATTGAAGTCCAATATCATCTCTGTATCCACACTATCACACTTCTATAGACTGTTTAATATTCTTCTAAATATTGGCTATCGTCAATTATTCAACAATAAAACCTAATGAATATTTATTACATTCTATATGCCCCACAGTGATGAATGGATTTTTATACTGTAAAAGAATACCGACACAGATGTCCCACCATGTATGCATGCATCACTGCAAATTTTAATACATAAAGTTGACACTTATCTTTTATAAAAAGATTTTACATAATCTACATCAGTTTTCTCTTAAAATAAAATTACATACATATACTCACTGATCACTTTCATTGAGACTGTTTTCTCGTGAAGTTTTCTTTTGTTGTCTTAAAAAATTAACAGCTTCATCAAGTTCTGAGTCTAATTCAAATACACCTCTGTATAACACTTCATATATTATAGCTAAAATATTAATCATTAATATTTTTAAGTCAATTACAAATCATAATAAGTAGGTAATTTTGAAAAAATGTTTATTCAATTGTTGAAAACTAAATCCATAGCCCAAGTTTTCTCCCAAGATAAATCCACATTTACAGTACAGAAAAAGGCTATAAGTCAGCCAGTAATTCCAGATAAGAGACCGAAAGCAATTGTGAAGATACTAAAAGATCAATTAAAAGTTATTAAAAGCAATGGCAACAAACTAATCCAATGGTGAACAAAGTGTTTTGGATTACATTTAGGTTCATCTTTATTTGTAAGAAATTCACCGTCAACTTGTCAATACAAAATCATTGATAGATAGCTTGTCAGACTAGGTAATATACACCCACTGATTGCTCTGATTTTAAATACATATACAATTATTTGGCAGTACAGTAACAATCACCAGTATGTAATATTCAACCTTCAGTCAGATACTCTTTATGAACTTTTTGGCGCGATATTGGACAATATTACCAACCTTTGTAAATATCTGTCTGAAATCATGCCTTTGATTTTTTAAGAGCTAAAAATTGCAACAGTTGAAGAACAAGGTCAATAACTCGTATAAAATATTTTATGAATTTTGGCTTTTCAAAAGGGTTCATCCACAGGTGATAAAACCATTTTCAAAATCTGTCAAGAATTTTGAAAATTGAGGGGCAATTACTCATTAGAATATATTTTTGATAGTCCATTCTTTCCTTAAAATCCATCAAGAATTGTGTGATGAGCAATTGTGGTCGAACGGACATAGGTGACGCCAATATACGCCCCCCCATCTCATAAGATGTATAAAAACAAGCTACTAGATTACAAAAGCAACACACTTATTAATTATATAGACCTAAGTGCTCCACATTTCAAGCAAGGATACAAGAGATAAAACTTACATTGGGAGATGGCCAAGCCATGAATATGTGATTGCGTATAAACCATATCATAATGGATACCATCAACATGACAAAGAAGAACCTGAAAATAAAAAAATACAAAACAGGGCCTTACATCCTTCTCCCTCATCTTATTGGCTCATCAAAGATGAACAATTTTTAAAAAAAAACCTTGTCGAGACAATTGACATTAAAACTGAGATATTTGGGTTTGGCAAGGTAGTATGGATTACAGTGCAAGGTAATTGTAGGATAAAAAAAAAAACAAACAATAGCAAAGGATCTTATTTCTTAACCATGATCCTACCAAACATGATAAATTTGCAAATGTTTAATATCAATTTGGGTGACTTAAATCAGCACATTGTAAAACTTACTAATTTAGAGTAACCATTACGTGTTACATCTACTGGTTTTTCATCTGGACTTTGAAATATTAGAATATCAATTCTGTAATAAAAAAGTATCTGTATCAGGGATTTCAAATTTTGGTTTTTTCAAAATTTACTTACTTGGGTTCAAAGACTATCTCTTATTTGCTGCCAAAACAAATTCTCAATCTGCTTTAATTTTGCAACAAATAACCCCACAAAGATTGAATGAAATGCATATTCCAGGATAGCTAGCTCAGTCTTCATTTAGACATTTATCAAAAAAAGAAGTTAAGAGAACTTACTTGTAAATTTTTGATAATGCCATCATTTCACAGTGTATCGGAGGTTCCTGAAAATTAAACACAAAAAAAAAACATTCTAGTCTACCGATCTTTCATTGAACATCTATTTCGATCAAAAAAAAAGTTATTTATTTTTCATATTTTGAAATGACAATTTTAATGCTTGTGTATTGCACCATAACATAATTTCAATAAGAAAACTTACATTCAATAACTCATCTCTGTGATTACATAAATATTCTAAACATTTCTTCTGTACTGTCCCATGTAAAGCTTGAGTAAAATAAATCTGAAATGAAACCAAAAGTTGTAAAGTGAAGGATGCTACAGAAACCAATAATCATATTTGGCAGATGTGGGTGCCAAAAACTTCAGTGTTTAGGGCAATAACTCTCTCCAGAGCATTAAAATTTTATGTATACTGGCACAGATACATTTCCTTAACTTTAGTAACCAAGTAAGAATGGGCAGACCAACCAAAGGACACTAACTCTATTGAAAATTTTTAATGAAAACTAAGGGAGCTTCAGCACTTTCTGTATTTAACAAGCTACAAATTAAACCCATTTCGAAGAACATGGGCAATAACTACAAAAATTATAATAGGGTTCATCCTTGGATGACAAACATTTTCACCAAGTTTTGTCAAAATCCATCTTAAATTCTGCCTTCACGTTGAAAGCAAATTGCACATATTTTATCAAAAAAATTCTTTCTTATGGATACTTTCAGATGTCTTTTCTGAGAAAATGCATTTCATACATCTAAAGTTATTTTACATATTGATATTACTGAACAGTCATTTAAAATTCATATAGACTGAGACCACATTTAGAATATATCTCGTTGTTTCTACAAGTTGGGTTAACATTTTTTGAAGTTTTTGAACAGCTGACTGTTTTCTCAACTACGAAAGTTAATTCATAATAATAACAGTGTATCATTATAACAAGGTGGGCACGATTATTTACACAATGCGAGGTCTGCTGTCCTTGCTTTTTTAGTTTACCAACCTGTTCTGATATTATGCGAAATAAACAGGAACTGTCTCTGACAACACTTTTACGACATAGCCCCAAACGCATTAGGTAGTCGTCCATGTTAGCAGCGAATTTAGACGCGTTGTGCATGTTGGCACTACTTGGGTTAAAAAAAATGTCGTCTCATCACTCTGTATTTTAAGTTCGCATTTTTCTATGATGTGCACGTGAAACCAGAACCGCGAAACTTTCCAGTGCTTTGATTGGCTGTAAACTCTTAGTTTTGACAGTTAAACTCCTCCCATTCACTGTCTGTTCATGACCATAAAAAAACTTATCTGAAACAAAGTTGCACTTAGTGTTGTTAGTAATATTGAATAATATATCAAAAGACTATCCTTTGATGTAATAACCAGTATTTTAACGGCTCTTTTTGTCAGCCGGAAAACTTATTGGTCAAAAGAAAAATTGATTGCATAAATTTTATCACATGAAAATTTCTGTCTCAATAATTTGGCTACTTGGTAAATTGAGTCAGCAGTAAGGTAAAATCTTTATCACGGAAGTTTTTAAATGAAGCGATTTGGTTGGATTATGCGTTTGCGAATACAGCCAATCAGAGTCCTCGACAAAAAGTCTTTACTTAATAAGTCATATTGTGTTTATGTCAAGAGCTCTTATTTGACTGTCATCGCCGGTGAAAAATTCTACAGTCTGTGATTAAAAAAGGTGGCTATTGCAGTTAAGGCATGGCCAAAAAAATACCGCCTAAATACGCTGGTGACAATTTAGGGGCATAATTAAATTAACAATAACTATGGACTAAAAATCTAGAAAAATTGATAAACGCCTTAACTAAAAAGTTTACGCAAGTGTTAAGGGCCTTTTCTGTGCCTTGTTGGACTAATAAAGACGATCAACGTCGTCTAAATAGTGTTTTACTGGGTGGAAGAGTTCAATTCTGATCAGTAGGTTATTAACTTTTCAGACTATAATTCCGACGACCTGTCCTCCTAAAAAGAATTAAAAATGAAGTAACGTAGGATTTGATTTTGGCGTCGCTTTCAGAACAACACTTTTAGTTGAATTGCTAAATATTACGGAGGTCGAAATGAGCTCTTTCAGGTCATCAAATATATATCTACTAGATAACTATATCCCTATAAAAGCAATCAACAGATGAATATGCACAAATGATCCCTTGTAATGTCCATGGACTTTCAAATAAAACACTATTGCTAACACTATTGCGACGTTTTAAGGGTTTTATAACAAGTAGTGAGCTAAAGCCAAAGGATCGTCTTCTCACGATTTTACCTATATTTTTCTCTATATGCGGGTTGTTCCCTGATATTTATTCGGTCGTTGCCCGAAAAGATAATATTTTTATCTGCAATTCTTCGACCGCTATAACCAGTTAAGTGAAAGCGAAAGCTTTTCAGATAGGACAGTGTTGTTTTTACATTTTGGCTGCATTCATTTCGGGACATTCAATTATTCAGGATACTTGTTTTTACTAAAAGATCTCTTATGAGCAGAAACTCAGTATTCAGATAACAGTTCACCTATTACAATGATTTGTCAGGTGGGATAGTCCGAGGAGCATTTCCTTAATTTTGGCCGATTTTAAACTACTTTAGCTGTCTTTTAACATTGGTCCGATTTGTCTTTTGTCCGTGTTGTCCTATTGCAATGGGACGAATTGGTCTTGGGCGATTTGACCTATATCCTGTAAAAATGTAAACAAAGATGGAAGGTTATAAGGTTTCCACCTGTCATACTGATCAATGTTAATATTGTTTTTGATAATAGATTATATTTTCTCATTGCTCATTTTTGAAGACTAAACCTATTATTTTCTGATAGCTGGGGGTAGACTACTCGGTTAGAAGAGGCGAGCCCTGTATCAAATGGTAATGTGACGTTTTCCTCTCACTCTCAGTCCAGTGCTCTAGCTTCTTTACTTTTATTTTGATCTTGCCGGTTTTGCTAGTTTTAACTGTAGGCTCTGTTATTGTGGATCAAATAAAGGCTACATAAACTAGACCAGATTGATTTTATAGTATATGACATGGCAATGTAACGTTTCAATCAGGTTATTTTTGTTTTGACAAGTCAATGTCTTAAAGTGATATTACGTCTTAGAATATACTCGCCCTGTGGCTAATATTTGTGTTTAATAGTGACCATTGGTTAAATAAGAGAGTTACTTCCCCTTGAAAATTACACCGGATTTCCTAGACTCACGATTTGAAAATCGCGTAATGGATGTATTAAGCGTTTTATAATTAATTAATTGATTTTGTGAATATATCGGATTATAGAGGGAATTTGATGTATAGTTAGGACACCAGGTATTCCACTGATGGATATATACTGTTATTGGCCAAATTTGAGCAAATTTAAATGTTATGTTCATCCTAAGACGTAGTATCCCTTTAAAATATTCATATTTGTATGGGGCAACTTTAGCCATAAAATTTTTCTCATTAAGAAACATGTCAGCTTATTCTTATTTTAGATATATTAGCCAAAGCTGAAGAGTGCTGGCAATTGCTTAAGATTTATTACCAATATGGCCAATGATTTACAGAGGCATGTAGAGTATGCAGAGGTAAGCTAATTTGTTGACACTTCATTTCAGTTCGATTGCCTACAAAAAAGAATAGCTCCAGATGGTGTTGACATATTTCAGTTTTATGATTGCATGCACATTGAACTGAAAGTTCATTCAATAACAATTTTAGCTTCAGATTTGTCTGTAATATTAATAGATCATAATAGTTGTTTAACAATATGAACAATTTTCTTAGTCACAGATCAGAGATATGAATTTTCATGAAATTTTCCCTTTTTTTATCTCAAAATCCAGGAATCTAATAATATATGCAAAATTTTATTGAGCCTGAAGTTTGTAAACGCTGCATCCAGAGTCTATATAGCTATGTATAGTTATTGTATATTTTATATTTATAGTACTTACTGCAGTGTTGTAGAGATCAACCATCTTTATTGATAGACAGGAAGACTGGAGAATCTAATAAAAGGTATGTAAAAGTAGAACTTTGGCTATCTCAAACCTGTTCAATAGCCTATGTGAAAAACATGAAAATAGAACTATGTAGAGTTTAATTATAAGCTACAGACTCTGTGGTTGTATTTGCAACTATGTTCTTGAGAACTTTATCGCTAAATTTAACATTCCACCGTTATCTATATTACTTTTTTAGTAAGTCTATCCATGATAAGTTACTAGATCTATATCTAGAAGAAAAAGAGAAACAAGAGGACAACTCAGTAAGTAATTCTATGCCCAGATTTTTTGTTATTTTGAGGGGGTCATTGTGAAGAGATATCATTAAATGTATTTAGGCTTTTTGACATCTATTTCCTATGGCCATAGTCAGTGACAAAAGCACATTTGTATATCACGTTTGATGAACTGATGTACTGCAATTTGTAATATTCAAAGCAAATGGCATAGGTGAATATTGTATCCAATCCCTTAATGAATGGTGATGATGTGCTTTGTCTTCCTCTCCTGCATAATTGATCAGTTAATATAATGTTTTATCAAGAGAAGTTTAATTACTCTCTAAACCATTGAAAGACAGATGTTTTCTTGTCATTTGAAAATTTCACTTATTGTTTCTTATTGCTTATTTCCAGGAATTAGATACGTCAACCTATTTATTAGCTAAGTTAGTAAAACGAGATAAGTTAAACTGTTTGGTATTAAACCTATATCCTGCTAATGAAGGACACTCTCTAATGTTGAAGGCTAGAAATGGTATAGAGACTGAAACAATAAAATTACCATATGAAGTAAGTGAGTTAGTAAAGATATATGGAAGTAAGGAAAACTTCACTAGGGCAATAGATAGGGATAGACAGCCCCTTATGGTTTGCAAATTGAGGAGTAATATTAAATTAGCATACTTTGTCAAAAGATTAATTGTTGCTTTTTTATTTTCTCAAAATTAGACATCTGTTATGAATAATAGTAATGAAAAATATAGTCAAACTCTTCTTATTATGAGTCAGAATGAATGTAAAACTGCTTTGGATAGAGGTTAATATTTCGTGCTCATTTCAAACTCACTGAACACCATGTATGCCTGTAGAAGTCTCATCTCATTTATTACAATTACAGTATAATTATTAATGTAATGTATTATGTGGTACACAAAAGTGTATAATGCTTTCCTCCTAAAAATTGGGAAAAATCTGTATGCAGCTCTTTTTTGTGAAAATTTGAGGGATTCTGGCAGAACAAAGACACCAATACTATCAATACTAGGTCACTAAATCTTTAAATCTTTACTTTAAAAAGTAATATTATTTCCTTACAGGAATCAGAATTATTAGAGTATGTTGATGAAGCTCAGGTATGTTTTTTGTATACAATACAGCATCTTTGCAATGTCAACTATTACAAACTTATACCATGACTCCAATAGACATTATTCACGCATCATTTTTGAGACATTGAAAGCAAGGTTCATACTGCAAATTTATTACACCCAATTAACAGCAAGGAAAGGAGCTTAAAACTGACCTTTCTCAGAAAAATGTGAATGTAAAACACACTCTGCTCTGCTATCAACCTCAGAAATGAAATTCCTGTGTATATATTTTCTGATCAATTCTTAATCATCCAATCAAATCGCTGCATTCCTTGAATGTGCAGGGATTTGATTCGATTATTAAGAATTGACCAAAAAAATACTCATCAAAACTACTGAAAGACAGTTTGCATGATTAATAATTAATAATAATTAATGATAAATGATTAAGCACTAATTGATGTTGTTGTATTTTCTTGATTTTGTCATGTCTTTTCCAGCTACCACCATTTCTAGTTGATTTATTAGAAAAATCTAATGTAAGTATTATATGCATCAATTATTTTCTATATATCTTTGATCCTGTCAAAAATATTCTTACAATTTACGATTTTCATCTTCTGGCTGTGAACGCTTGCTTTGGATAGAAAATCATAATAAAAACTGCTCGTGTGGAAAGGTTGTTGGACTGCAATATTTGAATGAAGCAAACACATTTCAATTTAGAAGTTTGACAATATAAGAGAAACATGGTTGACATTATCACTCTATGTGTATTGCTCTGTTTCTTGTGAGCAGGATTCACTTTAGGAGATAAATGGTTGACAGTATCACTCTTTATTATGTATCTCTCTGTTTCTTGTGAGCAGGATTCACTATAGAAGATACATGGTTGACAGTATCGCTCTATATGTATCTCTGTTTCTTGTGTGCAGGATTTGCTGTAGCAGATAAATGGTTGACAGTATCACTCTACATGTATCTCTCTGTTTCTTGTGAGCAGGATTCTTTGAGAAGATACATGGTTGGCAATATCGCTCTTTATTATGTGTGCAGGATTTACTGTAGAAGATACATGGTTGACAGTATCACTCTATATGTATCGCTCTGTCTATTGTAGTTGAATGTATTCTACAGTGGATGTGTTATAGTAGAAGTTAGAGATTATAGAAGATCAGCTATTAGCTCACATGATTCACAATATGTATTACTTCGACCAACACCTCAGGTATGTCTATCAGCTAACAGATTGAAACAAATACTTCATGATTCCTTTATCATAAGTCAAATCATGACTTTCAAATATTAAAAAATTGTTCTACTCATCAAGTCACACATCAAGGCATATTTCAAAACTAGCATACACTATTATGTCCCAAGGCAGAGTAGTTATTGAAGATGGGTTCCTTTATTTTCATTTATGAAAATGAAAATGCTAATAAATATATGAATAGAAAGTAGAGGTGTTCTAATGATGTGGAAAAATACCAGTTTGGCCATAATTAATTCATAATTAGCTAAATTAGAAGAGAAATACCAGGAGAATTCTAATGATTGATCGATCAAGAAAGGTTATTATTTAGACTTAATTATGTGCAATAATAACATAATGATATGATTAAGAATACATGATAATTCATTAGAAACACCAATTAATCAAATAGTTTTCTTAATTTGACACTAAAAAATAAGGAAACCCATCTTTAATTGAAGTCAGTCTGAGACTTGTAATCAGCAATTTATTTGCTTCCAGGAACTCTTATGTAAGAAAAATTAAGCAATTCATATTTCTTGAAATCGGTAATAAAACAGTCTTATAGCTTGCCAGTTTTATTGTATCCTTATACAGAAACAGATCTTGATGTACACGATTATCTGTTACTGTATAATATACTGTATAACATACATTAGTATTAAATCTGGAATGTTTTTTCAGTCGTTACTGTGTGATATCAATGCTCTAATGAGTGAGAATGAGAATCTAGTCACACAAGAAGATGAGTTTATGTTAGAAAGTGAGATATTACTAGCTACAGAAGAACCGTTATGTCTGGACCCCTCCCCAGCAGTTTGTCTGATTAACAATAGAATTCAGTTTGAAGATAAGACATTGTGTAACCCTGATTTAAAAAGGTCAGTCAATCCCTAATCCAACCATTAAAACTAACACGTTTTATGGCGTCACTAGAGGGGAGATACCTGAAGCTACTATTGATATCTATGCAGTTCCCCTCTATTGACGTCATAATATGTGTTCGTTTTTAGTGGAATTGCAAGAACCACAGATGTCGGAATGAAAATGGGAATGGTGCAAATTGAAGCTATCAGTGTCCACGATACACATAAAGAGTTTAGAAACCTCTTTACAATCACTTTAAAATCATATACATGTGTTTGTATACTCTTGCTTTATTTGTCCATGGTTGTTTGTTTGATGTTATTTGAAGCCATTAGGTTTAACTAGTTCTAAAAACAGTCTGTTAGAATGAAATTTGCGTTCTAAATTTTTTATACTTTCTCTTTGTAGAACTGTAAAGAAATTCTCTCAAGTATCTGTGAACAGAAAGCGAAAGTTAGCTCAAGCTCCAGCTCCTAAAGAATTAAAATTATTTGATTTTATAAGTAGAAAGAAAGATAAAAATAAAGTAACTGTAGGAAATAAACCAACGACTAAAGCTAAATCAGTGAGTAATATATAAGATCTGATGAACTATGATAATTTAGGGATTATTCCTAAAGGTCTATGGCTTAGTGCCATGGGTCAAATTTCTCAACCTTTTTCTCAGCATGTGATGCAGATCAACACTTTGATAAGTTCTCAAAGAAGCACCAAGTTCTGTGAATGAAATAGTAAACTAAGTTCCTGTATTCCCTCATTGCACACTGCATGACATTGTCCAACTTCATTATCCAAGAGTAAAATTCCATTCAATATTATAATTTCAGTGTGTAGATTACTGGAGACAAAAGAATCCTATCAATTTATCACCACCATCAAATATAGAGGTAAGGTTATTGAACAGAACAAAATACATTCTATAATGACAACAAGAAGATTCTATTGTTCAATCAGAATTATAAATCTCAAATCAGCATAACTTTTCATGTTATTAACTCTAGTCACATGTATGTTGCAACCTGGTGTACTTAATTCGGTTAATTTAAATTTATATGCCCACATGGAAATGTGAACGTATATTGCCGTCGCCCCTGTCCGTCCATCCGTCCACATTTGTTGTATGCACGATAGAGGCTACAGTTTTTATCAGATCTTGATGAAACTTGGTATGCATGTATATATTGATGAGAACTTAGTCAAGTTCGAAATTGGTAATAATCGGATGACTGGTTTCAGAGTTATTGCCCTTGACTTAGTCAAAACGCATTAAATTTGACTTGTATGCACGATAAAGGCTGCGATTTTTATCCGGTCTTGATGAAACTTAGTATGCATGAATATATTGATGAGATCTCGGTCAAGTTTGAAATTGGTCTTAATCGGATGAACGGTATCAGAGTTATTGCCCTTGACTTAGTAAAAACGCGTTAAATTTGGCTTGTATGCACAATAAAGGCTACAGTTTTTATCTGATATTGATGAAACTTAGTATGCATGTATATATTGATGAGATCTTGGTCAAGTTCAAAATTGGTAAAACGGTTTCAGAGTTATTGCCCTTGACTTACTTAAAACACTTTAAATTTGGCTTGTATGCAAGATAAAGGCTACAATTTTGATCCCATCTTGATGAAACTTAGCATATATGTATATATTTCAAGTTTGAAGTTAGTAATAATTGGATGAACGATTTCAGGGTTATTGCCCTTGATTTAGTAAGAACCCTACAACTTGTTTGACTTGTAGTCATGAAACAGGGTGCAGTTTTATCTGATCTCAATGAAACTTGGTATGCATGCATGGACAAGATCTCAGTCAAGTTGAATTGGTAACAATTGGGTGAACGGTTTTGGAGTTATTGCCCTTGAATTCAATGCATCTAATTTGGTTTGTAGGCCTGATAAAGACTGATTTTTGATACGATCTTGATGTAACTTGGTATGAGATCTCAGTAAAGCTTGAAACTATTAAAAATCGGATGATTGGTTTCACATATTAAACCACTACAGACTTTGTTATCATTTCTGACAGCTGGTAGTGGGCGTAAGTTACCTTGCCTGGCAAGCTATCTTAAGATAGTTTTAAGGCTCAAAGTAAGACATTGCCAGTTGTGTGAAATGATTACAATACAGTTGTGACTATTTTTTGCAGGTTGATAAATACGTTAAAGTTTTAGATAAACCTCAGCCAGGTGTAGAGTATCCCAAGGTAAGAAGTGTTGGCAGTAAGGGAAAGAGGCAATTGGGAAGGAATTTCATGGGATTAGATTAGGGGTGACTTTGGGAAGCAATGATAAAGAAATAAACCAAGATTTTTATTTAAATGCAATACCAAAATTCTGAACCAGTTTTTAGAATGTTTAGCAGGGAATTTCATAGAAATTTGATCATCATTTGACTCAATAAGGAAATCACCAATGTAGAATTCAATGAACGCCACCAATGATAATTTCTATGTGTGTGTATAGGTATTTGTTGAAGAACATACATTAGAACGAGAACCTAATCAAGAGAAACATATGTTAGCCAGAGTAACGATATTACGACGTTCCTCGGATGATGTTTATTATGGGGAACTATATTTAGACTATGAGTATAGTACAGATAAAAAAGATGGTGGTTGTTCTTGTCAGTAAGTCTAATTTATTACTTCTTATACTCCATTCAAATTTACTCTATTGTAATGGGTTTGCATCACTTAACTTGGTGTATTTTGAAAAACACAATAGTTAGTCCACTTATATGCTGAAAAGTAAGATGCAATAACTCCAAATGCATTTAATTTTTTTTTTCAGTATCTTGGAAACTTGGCATTTTACAAATTATGATATGAAAGGAGATTTTGTCAATATGGAAGCGTTTAATTCTGACTAATATGTAGCATATTGCTGTTTTTTTATTTCAGTTTTTTGTTGGGAAGTAGAGAAGAAGTAGATAAGTAGGAACATTTTTCTTCTTTTTATATTTTCTGTGCAAACGAGTCAGATGAGGCTTCAGACAATTGAACTATTTCAGTCTGTGTCTCTTCTGAATTTTGACAAGTACAGATCCTTATACAACTGGACAATTTCTGTCTGAGTCCTTACTGAGTCCTTGACATGAAAATATTTTCAGATCTTATTTATTTCTATTTTAATCACGTAGATATTTGGACCAATTCCGTCAGTTATTTACTGAAGAAGGACGTAGATTGGTAAAAATAACAGTTAAAAAGCCAAATGTTCCAACCTCCACCACATACACACAAACACCACAGTCTAATATATATCAAGCTATCTTACAGCAGGCTACTGCTACTGGTCTTACAGCAACATTATCTTCACAAGTAAGTTCCTTTTGAAATGTGGTCAAGGTCTGAACCTTATTCTTGTAATTTTAAAATACATGATATTGGTTAATTAAACTAAACTTGAAATCAAGTTTAGTGATTGACCTATAAGATGAAGACAATGTTTAAATCATTTAGGTTAAGTTTTTGTTAATACAGTCTGTTGGTCTATAACTAGCCAAATCTTATCTTGACTCTGCTAGTCCTTTTAGTCAGATGAATAGAAATTTCAATCAATTGTCAAGCTGTAGTTTTTGCAGTTTCTGCAGAGTTTTGGATTTTGAGTTAGGACCAAAATGGTCTCATAAGTTTCCTATATGCTAATTTGCCTGTGTAAAGGGTCCATATCCTTTTGTTGTAAATATTATTACAGGGTGCTATAATATTCAGTAATATCTATTTTAGAGTCAAGGAGATGGTAACAGTGGTAGTAATTTAGCAGCCAAACGCAACATGCCGATACAATTATCATTATCTATAGCTCATCCATTATCATCTCAATCTAATAATGTTATTAATCAACAACCCAATATAACATTACCTAGTATGTATATTTCCATATTCAAATGTAATGCAATCTGGTTTTTATGTTAATTCAAATGCATCTAAAGACACAAATTTAGCAATGTTCTTTATAATGTTGTTTGAAATGGTGGCTCACTATTTCAGTAATTGCCATGAATAAATCAGGTCATGTATACTGAAATTTGTGAAGCTTAGCTTATCTTGTTGTTAGAAAGCAATTTGATATTAGCCTCTTTTATGGATTCTTCAAAAATGTATGTTTTAAAATCACAATGTTTTTGTGATTTTGCTAAAGGAGAATGGGGCAATTGATCCCATCTATGGATGTCTATGTTGGCTGTCTATTGTCATTATTTATAATTTATAGGTCCAGGTACAATACCAGGCTCTAATCAGAATAGTGCGGGGGTACAACAAGTTCCTGTTTTACAATCACCAGCCAATCCACCATTGTCAGCAACACAGAAGATGAAACAACCTATTCCACCTGCTACACCCAGGTTGGTAGAGATTGCATTTTTGGTCAAACCTTTCTAAAAATGGACAGAAACATTTATTTTAAGAGGGTCTTTTTTTGTGCACACATGGGTAACAGAGAATTAAAGAATTAATCATAGGAGGTTTTTCGTCATGAACAAACAAGTTCAAAATCAATCAAAATATGTTTGTCAAGGAACCAGGCCACATATTCTCGTAACGATCTTAGCACTAAGATGACCTAGAATCAATATAAGAAGATAAGAACCTAGGACATCCTAGCGCCAAGATCGTTTGTATGTACAAGCTGTAAATCTGTAAAGGAACCAGGCCACATATTCTCGTAACGATCTTAGCACTAAGATGACCTAGAATCAATATAAGAAGATAACAACCTAGGACATCCTAGCGCCAAGATCGTTTTGAGATTACATCACCAGGTTTGGTTATTACAGTATACTGGTCACAGTCCTAATTTAAATTCTAATCTAGATGTTTCTTTGTGTAATTTTTTGGATGACTCTATTGGCCATCCATGATCTGAAGAAATATTAACAGAGTTATTAATTAGTAAGCATAAAAAGCTCAGGTCAAATTTTCACTGATTGAAACAAAATGTCTAGATTGTTACTGTATGTATTTGGTATTTGTGTATTATAGAATGTCTAGTAGTAATAAAACACCGACAGTTAGTCCTGCTACTACACCTACTCACCAACCATCTGGTATGTACCTATCATGATATGTTCAAAGTAGAAAACATTTACCCTGCTTTGTCAGGAGGTTTGGTCTCGCTTACTGCTGATATGAGCCCAGAGATTTTAGGCTAGCTACAGGTCTTTTATGGTACAGTATCATGTCAATATTTGGCTTGTGGTATTATCTCAACTTTTAAAGATAGAGGAGAAATATGATTTTCTTCATTTGCAGACTTGATAAAATATTTAATTTTCATTTGATATACTTATTTTCTATTTGTCTAGGGAACTTTGTGTTTTGACATATATATTAGAGAAATGTCTGTGATATTTTAGGTTTTATGGGAATAAACGTTTCACAATCAAATCCACCAGTCTTACAGAAAGCACCAACACCATCTTTAACACCACCACCTAACTCTCGTACACCCACACCTACTCGTAAAGATACACAACAATCTGTTACTACATCTAATATACAAGCTATAAATCTAAATACTTATATACAAGGTAAGTACAAGCTTTAAAATCTAATACTTATATACAAGGTAAG